TGGTCAAAAGTTTGGCCTTTGGCAAGTGAGTTGAGAACCTGCCCAGTCTCGGACCTTATTATAAGTTAAAGTTTTTTCTACATAGGTTGTACCGTCCAAATAGATCTCTTTGAAGGTGTCTTCACAACCAATTCAATGGAGGAAAAGGTACAACCAAGGGCAGGAAACGGTCGTGGCGAGGGAGGCGACTGTCGCAGAGCTGAATGTAGACCTGGGGGATATCAAACAGAAGCTTCATCAGCAAAAAGGACTGTATGAACAGGTGCGCACAGATCGAAATCTATACGCAAAGAACCTGGCGGAGGTACTTACCTTAGTTTAATAGGAGCAGGTAACTCACCACGAATGATGTTATCTTCGTCACTCAACGAGCAGAACGAATAGGAAGGTCTATCAAGTAGACTACTCGATTTTCTAACCCTTGCCTGCTTCATTCAAGTAGTTGCTTCGCACATATTAAAACACGTGAATCTCAAACATTTATTAGTCCTTTCGTCACTAATTTCGCAACAAAAATAGGCACAAGAGGAGATCGGCACGATGAAGGAGCGCTTCAGGAATATGTATCACCAAATAGAGACACTTCGTGACGAAATACGGACACGCGACTCCGACCTGATCAAGAAGCACTGCGACCACGTCAAAGTCTCGAAGGAGATGGATAGGGTCAAGGACCACTTAGAGAAAACGAAGAAGCGACAAAATCAGCTGCAACATGTACAATTCTATCTAGGCTAGTAGTGTTGAAAGATTTAGATACTTTAGATACTTCAAACATAGAATCCTGGAGCATCAGACCGTGCATAGAATAAGTCCTCGTATTTTCGTTGCTTCTTGAATAAGACGAAGCAACGAAGTTGAACTTCCTACAACTTGTAAATATGGCTTTTCATATCAACATGGATCAAGTTAATAGATCGTTGACAAAGCGCCAGGGTCTGTCCCGACCTTTGGTCGGGCTGGAGTCTAGACTCCGATCAGTCGGGGTAGTCCCCGGCGCCAGCGTTCGCATCTCCCGCGAGGCCCACTTGTCAGTGCTTGTCGCATGTTTTTGGTTGTCGAAGATGTTGCGTCCGTTGAGTTTCTTACTGTTTTGGTAATATTTGGAGGATTTGAGAGGTCGTCTGAGGTCGTTAGGGTTAACTGGGTTCGACTCTGTCGGGCCCAGTTTTTGTTTCGGGAACAGTCCTGCCATTTACTTTCATCTGCGAGAAATAAATTAATGCAGGAAGAGCCTGCTATTACTGCATAGTTTATTTCTCCAGGTGGAAGGAGATGATTGGAAAGAGTAGGCTGCTGCGGCATGTACAAAGCAGCAGCCAAAGAAAAAAAAACTTTTAAAAAGAAGAAATCTTTAAACATTGAAAATAAGTGCTCATCGTAACATCTCTCGGCCGAAGAAGTAGATCGTCAAACAAGAGCGAGAAAAAAAAATATATATTAAGACTCGTGCAAGTGAAGGTCGTCGCTACTTCGAAACCGATTTGATATCATCGCGGTCGTTTATTTAAGTTATTCGCTCGTTTAGCATGCATCACAAGAACACCAAGATAAACGTTGAGATATAAAGATAAGCGCTAAGGTTGTTTGGTGAAAGTTTCTGTTTCCCACCCTCCCACACCAATAAGTTGCACTCGCTTGGAACAAGTGACAGGAAACCTCCACCCTTCAGATCTTTGCGCGATCTCTTTCCCTCCCTGTTGGGGTCAGCTCGTTTAAGGTTGTCGAAGATGTTGCGTCCGTTGAGTTTCTTACTGTTTTGGTAATATTTGGAGGATTTGAGAGGTCGTCTGAGGTCGTTAGGGTTAACTGGGTTAGACTCTGTCGGGCCCAGTTTTTGTTTCGGGAACAGTCCGGCCATTTACTTTCATCTGCGAGAAATAAAAAGAATTAATAGATCGTTATTTCCATGTGTACCATATTTCCCACTTGACGGACCTACCACATGCAGATAACCGAGCTGCAGCACCGTGAGATGAAGAAGATCGAAGCGACTATAGCAAATGCCGAACTGGAGCGGCTAGGGCAGAAGAAGGAGCTTAGCAGTATATCGACGCAGCGCAATATCCTAGCGACGCAATTGATAAAACGGAACGAAGAACTGAGCTTGCTCTACGAAAAAATTAGGGTGCAGCAATCCACACTGCAGAAAGGAGAGGCGCACTTTAGGAAGCGCCAGGAGGAACTGGCGAAGCTTAGAGCAGAAATACGGCGAATTCAGGCCATGAACAGAGCAGCCAGCAGTGCCTCAAAAGTCGGCGAACTCTCGAAAGAGGCAAATAATCTGGAGCGGGAACTATTCGCCGAAAAGCACAAGGTATATGAATTGCAAGATCTTCTAACCAGGTGGGAGATGATTCTTCTTGTGTGCCGCTAGGGTAAATATTTGCTGCTTGTTCTGATTACGACCTAGTTTCTTTACCGTAGGAGTTTTATCGACTGGGATCGCAACCTTTTACAGGTTAAAGCGTTAGCGGAGGAGTTGTCAAATCCGATGAATGTGCATCGGTGGCGAAAACTTGAGGGTAGTGACCCACAAGTGTTTAACTTGATTAACAAGATCAAGACACTCCAGCAGCGAATAATATCGAAGACGGAGTTGGTCATAGACAAGGGGGAGAGCTTGAAGAGACGCGATAAGGCTTACACCGATTTGAGGAAGGTGCTCTCGCGACAGCCTGGTCCAGAGATCGCGGATAGCCTTGCCTTGTATCAGGAACACGTCAAGAAAAAGAAGAGCCAATGCGAGAAGATGACAGGTGAAAAAATACTCTTGTACTTGTTGATTTAGTGTGGGGGTCAGTTATTTTTAACGAATTGCACAAGCAGAGGTATCGGGATGTTGAGACCATTGAGTTGAAGCTTGAGACTCAAAAGTCTCAGTTGTAACTGAAGATTCAGCTTGCACTTGGTGAAACCGGTCCAATACTTTTCTGAACTCAACACTCACCTTCAGGCGAGCTCCAAGTGTACCAAGGAAAAGTGTCGGAGCTGCGGGAGGAATTGCAGCGAGTGCACCGGGCGAATGTAGACGTGCGAAAAAAGCTGTACGAGCAGCGTCGGAAGGAGAAAACGGTGGAAAAAAAAGTGATCCACACTTTACTCCCACAACTTCCTCGTTTTACCGGTGGCGGCTTCAACCTCTCGCTGTAAACGGTTTTCCCTGGTGTCTCGTACATTCTTGGTTTTCGGTCGGTGTGCCTTACTTGTCGTGGAGGCGCTGGTTGCCGAATTTCGGTGCTGGTTCCTGAGCATGAGGTCGCCCACCTCGAGCCCGATAATGTCACAATTTGTCGATCCCACATACCTGTATTCCTGCCTCAACATGTTGCTAATGTCATAATCTTTTTAATCCATAATCATAAATTCCTGTAGATCATGGAATTGGATCTGCATAATCGATCCCGAAAACCCTTGAGGGATGCACGCAATGCAGCGCTGTGCCCACGACCGGAGTGACTGCTCCGTTTTGACGCCTATTTGTTTTCCAATAGCTTAAATAAATTACATATTTTTATCGCCGTAATCAATGTTGAATAGATTACCTTTATCACAGATCATTCGAAATTACCTGAACGCTGAAAGATATAATGACGAGTTTCGCTCAGCTATCGTTTTGCTAGTTTCCAAACCAAAATCACTTCGTTCAAGGCTAGTATAATCTCCGACTTCTTCTAAATCTAAAACTAACCTACAACTAAGATGAAAGCATGTTAGACTGTGACTGAATTGATTCTATGAGGGTCCTCTTGCGTTGCACGTCGCGCTTGTGTGATGCACAGGGATTTGAACAGGCTTGTCCTCATAGATTCGACGCAGAAAGACGAAGCTGGTTATTACAAAGTTCAAATTTGCTAATGTTTGCAAAAAGGTCAATGCTAGGGCGCTTCTACTACATCACAAGCATACCAAGTCTGAGGTCTCTAATGAAGACCACGAGGTCTTGCAATTGAGTCAAGTCAAAGTCCGTGACGGTTGATCTTTTTTTCGATTGTCGTGTTCCTTCGTGAATCACGAGTGAGAATACTCAACACGAGGATGCCACACCAATTATGAGTACTCTCCAAAAGAATATCTAGTCCACCAACTTGTGTTAAACGATTTTTTTCGATCTTTGGCTTCATTCATCAGTTTTTGGAGGAGAGATGCTGTGATAGAATTTTCGTGTCGATAAATTACAGCTATTCAAGAATTTTAGTGAAGCGACGAGTGATTCTGTCTCTCGAGGCCGCCATCTGTTGATTTGTCCCGTTTTATCGAAAGGTAATATTAGAATAAGTCCCTTTTCAGCTGGGGCACCTCAGGAGAAGATTCTGTATTATGTTCAAAAAGAAAGATCATAACTTTGTGTGAGTTTGTTCCGCATGAAACAAAACCCTCTCTCTTGTTCCAGGCTATATCAATATGAACGTCGACGCAGTGGTAAAACTGCATTTTAGAGAATCACACACTGTGTACTTCTCGTTCTGCTTCTGCTTATTCTTAATATGATATCATGTGAACCGCTCGTCGATCTTTCATACATAGGTGCTTGTGAAAGTGAAAAACAGGACTAGTGGAGTCTTTTTTCAAAAAGACTCTCTTATGTCTGTTTGTGCATAGCTTTTTGCGATAGAATTGCAAAGTGGTGTGGTCAGAAACCTGAAGTATTTATTTCGGTTCGATGTTATACAGCCATACTGGTCAACATATTTTTCATGCATTCAAATTTTTTTTCAAGAATCACTAAATCAATCAAATTGATATGTGATTACCTACGTAACGTGAAGCCTGTCTATATTAATTTATTCTTTTTTGTTGATTCGAAGCATGGAACGCTACTTGTCGGTCTGTGAGCCTCGTTGTTCATCCTCAGTCGAAATCCGGTTGCGAAGCGACTGTTATCCGCAGGTCAATATAGGAGACCACGACCGAGACAGCATTGCAACTACAACTTGAGACAAGCATACGACAACAGGGGACGTTCGAATCTGCAAAACCAACCGTAGAGAAAGCTGAAGATGTTGGTTGCTGGAAGTAGAAAAATGGACGCGGAGGAGGCGGCGGCGTCACGCAGATCGTTCTTTCAACGGCGTCTTCTCCACGATGCTGGTGCCGCTTTTGGAGCTGCCGTAGGGCTTTCGCCTTTTGTGGCGATCATCGACAAGTCAATTATCTCTAACGCCAGTGGCAGGCAAAGTCTACGGGATTGCTTGCGTGAAAATTTTGCCCTGCTACTACGACGACCACATAAATTTGTAGCGCTGCGAGAACTTCATCTCATTTACGGGGTATATATTCTTGCTCTTGGCTTCATTTTAATTATATTTCGGTAGAAGCAAACTCTTTTTTTGACTAAGGTCTACCTGATTATTATATTTCAGAACAATGTACTTGTACTGAGGAATGCTTTGTAGACAACGTTACTGTGCAAGCTGCGAAGATCGAAATTTTTTAAGCATTTAGCTGAGAGAAGTATCGCGAAGAGCAAGGTCAGGTTCCTCAGCCTGACGAATTATGTAAACCGATGTGACAACACAAGAATTAACAGCACTCTAGTTACGTGACGAGGATCCGCGATTCTTGTGGTCAACAATATGAACATCATAATCTCTAACTGTGTTTGAATTTCAGGTGTATAGCTGCACATATTTGGCCGCGAACTATACGGACACGATCTGTCGCGAGTATGGGTACAGTCCTGTCTACCCCGTTTTTCTTGCCACTGGTGCGGCAAACATGGGCTGCAGTGTGCTGAAAGATCGTGCTTTCACCCGAATGTTTTCTGCCGCCACCAAAGCGCCCGCACCGCTTCCACGCCTTAGCTACGCCCTATTTTGCGCGCGAGACTTGATGACTATTTTTGGATCCTTTACCCTAGTTCCCTTTGCCGGAGAAACATACTACGAATGGATAAACTGGAGATCTTCAGCACCATCTTCGTACTCTTCATCGTCTTCCAGCAGCTCTCCCATCAGCACGAGCTCAAGCGCTGGACCTAAACTTCAAACGCTTCCCGCCACTGGCCTTGCGGCAATGCCTGCCGAACCCAAGAGCGAGGAGAAGATTTCGAAATTCGGTTCCCTAACCCTGGCTCAGTTAACGTGTCCGATGCTTATTCAGATTATCAGCACCCCTTTGCATTTAACAGCCTTGGATCTTTACAACCGGCCAGGGCACCCGTTCCTGAGCCGCGCTACCTTCGTTGGCAGTCAGTACCTGGGGGCAATGACGCTACGGATGTCGCGGATCGCACCAGCGTTTGGTTTTGGAGGTGTCGGAAACCGGGCTCTGCGCGAGTACTTTAATCGTGGCGTTGTTGAAGAAGAAAAACGCCTGAATCAGGCAAAAGCAAGCAAATCCAGATAGATTATGTCCCGGTCCTCGGAATATATCTTTATGTAACCGTCAAACTAAGCACCCAAAGAAGCAACTTGAGAAGCAGGAGTAAGAGGAGTTCAAGCAACGCACTATCGTAGAAGTGGCGGACGACGGTGATTGCTAGTGCAAAGTAACCCTTGCAACGCGCGGAGGACACGATGCGCGATGAAACTAACTTCCCCCTGCTACCTGACGAAAGTGAATCAAGGAGGCGCAGCCCCCTGCGAGTCCTGCTAACCGAGAAGCGATCGTGTACGCGAGTGATGTCTCTGCTCTTAGTGTACTTGCTTGGCTTCAACGAAGTAATTCGATATCGATCGGGATCATGGAGCTGTCCCAGAACGGACAATGCATCGTGAAGGCATCCTCCAGGGTCATCCAAACGAGCCGCACAGTTTGATAGAGACCTGATTTTTTGGCTAATGGCGATCGTCCTGGACTCGGTTTCGCGCAAATGACAGATCGCACAACCTAGGCTAAGAAACGCAGACCAATATCATTACGCGGTACCCTTCTTGTTCAACGACGCGTGATTCATGAAGACGCTTGTTTTTCCTGGAGCATTATACTCATACTTGCGCCAAGGTCGTATGCACCAAAGGAAGGTCGCTTATTGTCAATCTTGTTGTTGTATTTTATTTGCTGTGTATAAAATAACTTCTAACGTGAAGAAGCGCTGACTTTTGTGATGCAATTATTTGTCAGTCTCTGAAAGAACGATCAATATTCTGTAGTAGAAATTACCCTGAAAAACAATTGAATGAATGTAACCTGAATCCTCGCGATGCATGTAGACATCACCCAAAATCGTATACATTGAAGCACTGTGTTGTAGAAGTAGAAATCACTTGTCAATGATTTCTAATTCTTATAGGATGCGCGACATCCATCTCGAATGAGTTAGACATTCTCCGTGTGTAGTTTTCCCCAACGATAGCGCTTGGTTTGATTAGACCGATAGTACTTATGCATATGCAACTAAGTACTAGTATCTTCATGCTCTTTACTCTGGTGGACGTCCTCTGATTTTCTTAGGCACCCCATTGAACAGTTAGAGTCCCGCCGTAGGAGAGAATCTGCTATGGCCATTATTCCGTCTATGATGATTATCCGTCGTCAAGAAACTCATTTGAAATTCCAAATTAGTTGTAGTTCTTGTAGCCCTTAATGGAAGTAGGAGCCTTGTTAACCACATGTTAGATAGACCGGTAACAAGAACTTCTAAGCTTTCCTCCTGCTTGAAACTATGGAAACGCAAGCTATAGCATTGCTCTCTCCGCTTCAATGCTCAGTGAAACGCAAAGGGGATCGGTCGTTTCGACAGCTTATTGTTGAATGAATCCAAGCCATTGGCACATGGTCAATAGACTGTAGATGCTAGTAGTCAAAAATTCTGAAGTTCTTGCTGGTTCTGGTGGGCTTTGCCTTTTTGCCGTGTTTTAGAAACTTATGCCGGTGCGCGCCTTTTTCCGTGTGCGTTCGCCGCCGATTCATTCTGAGAATTCTCTTTTCTGGTGAAAAGCAGAACATTCTGTCCTTAAACAAGATCAAGTAGACGAGACGAGTGTATCGTGTCTATATGCACAACTTAGTGTAGCTCTACCAGCTCTAGGTCGTAGTCGTGTTTTTGGCTCTTCAGCAGCCACTGATGTCTGCTAGTTTTCCTAGTGGGCCACACCTAACGGAGCCTAATTTTGAGTATTTTGGAGTCTGTTGCTGAGCTGCTTCTTCTGCCTCCGAGCCTACTATGCGGTTCTGTTATGGCACCCACGAGAGACAATCCGATCGGAAATGTTTAGAGATCAGAGACTTTGGTTCTTCTTCCGAGTCAACGAGAACGGCGAGTATCTGTGTCGTTGAAGGCGAGCGTGAGCGACGAGTTATATGATCTAAATCGATCATCTCGTTTTTTCATTGTTTTGTGGAACATTCTATTTCCTGTTGGTGGAGAGAGTGCTGTTATTCTTATTGATGCTATGTGACTTTTCCATCTTGCGTTGCTTTACTCGTACATGTTTTTGAATGTGAAAAAAACAGGCCGAAAAAAGCGAGACACAAAGACCCTGCATCCTAGCAAAGACGAATTCAACTAAAAAAAAGAAACATATTAGACGAAAAAACGAAGCGAGAAAAAACTTAAAAATAATTGACGAATTTCAGAATAAGATAGGAGAGAAAATAGATAGGTGAAAGCAAAAGAATTTTGAACTTGCAAGCCCAAATAGTTTTGAACGAGGTATTATTCGGAGATTCCCTTCACTCAATCCGAGGATAATCAAATTTTTACAAAGTAGACCTAGAGCTAGACGTAGAGACTTGCCTACTTGTATTTGAATTCATCGAGACACATCTAAGATCCATTTATCGCCTGTGAGCGATTGTGCATCTAGAAGATCTACTGATCGATCCACGACTGGTTACAACTGCTACAACTTGCACGGCTTGAAGACTCTACCTTTCCATGTGAGGCCCCTCACGTTGTTAATTCATTGAAATTAGTATACTCAAAGCAACCAACTTTTCCTGCTGCCCTTTTATTTTCCGATCTACACACAACTTCTATGATGTATACTAAGATTAAATATAATTGATTGTCACTTGACCTTGTTACTTAGAGAAATTATTCTGTATTGTTGCGTCCTTTGAGGGAACCTCGACCGACGATCGATCATTTCTAATCGTCACATAATTTTTTACAAAAAAAGAGAAGAAGAAACTCGTCAGATAGGAGAAGCAAGACGCTAAGTAAATTGACTTTGAGTCTACTATAGACTGCGTAAGTCACCAAAACCCCCACCCTCGAAAACAAGCCAGAAAGATCAGGATATAGAGAGCTATTAAACCTGAAGATCAGAAGAAACGGATCATTAGAATAGTATCTTACTTTAGACGAAGTATTCGAAATTTTCTTGACTTTTCTTGTGTTTCGTCCTCGAATAATTGTAGCTAGTTAATACACTTCATCTAGTGGAAGTAACGTTCAACGTACCAGCGACAGGAAGATAAGTTAGATCTTAACCATATCAACAAGATGTTTTCTCGTGGTCCGAAAGTGATGCTCTCTGCGGCCGTTGTGCTTGCCGCAATGGCAGACGGCCAAGAAGATGCCAGCGTGGTTTCTACGACGACTGGTGTTCCGATGAAGCCAGTGACTGCAAAACCAGATGGAGGGGAAGAACAAGAAAATTCGTCTGGTGGAGGGTCCTCTACATCTTCGAGCACGACGATTGCTCCGCCTCTGCGTAAAGGATGTACGCGCGAATACGCCCCGGTGTGCGCCGGTGGAGCCAAGACGTTTCCAAACCTGTGCACAGCGGAGAGCTACGGGTATGCATCCGGTGATATCAAAGTTGGAGGGCCTTGCGTCACTGGTCGAAGTTGGAAGACGCGTTTCTGGGCGAAACTGCGGAAGTGGTTGGTGCACCAGGAACACGCCACAAACCGCGAAAGTTTTGTAGAACAAGGAGATACTGATGTGTTCTACAACTACAACTTGGAAGAAAAGAACAAGGATGCGACGGCAATGAAAGCAGATGAGGAGTCCAAACTGGCGGTTTATCGCGCACAAGAAGGCGACAATGAGCGCATTTTCGGAGTCTCATCCTCGAATGCAGGAGAAAGTGCGATGAAAGGAGCAGGAGCTGATGCCAAGAAAGGCAAAGGGAAGGGAAATATCGGCGAGCAAGGAACTGACATTTACAGCGGAAAAGAAAAAGGCGAATACAACAATTACAATGATATGAAAAAGAACAAGACAGCAATGATGCAGCACAAGAACCACGATGAGATGAAAGAAAATAAAGGAAAAGGAAAAGGAGACCATCATCACAACCACGAGTACGATCATCACGACAAAAAGAACAAAACGGAAGGATGGAACCGCACAGCCTATGAGCAAAAGTGGGCATCCTTCAAAGAATGGAAAGACCTGAGCTATGGAGCTGAATCGTCCTGGAAACATGGCAAGCAAGGCAAGACGAATACTACGTCTGCGTCTGGTTTCGCTACAACTACCGTGGACAAGAACCAGATCAACATCAAGGATACCAAGATGAAAGTAGAGCAAGAAAAGGTTTTTCCTTATGTGAGTATGGATGACCTGCGAGCGCGGATGCAGGCTGTTGACGAGGCACACGAGCACGACGTACCGATGAACCAAGAAGTAATTTTGCGTGGCAAAGTAGAACTACTAGAATCTAGTTTGAAGTTGGAAGAAATTTTGCGACACTCTTCCCAAGAGTGGAAGAACCTCTCGGAAGCCGAAAAGGCGGAGGTTCGAGAGACCAAGAAACTGATGCTAGAGGAGCGCAAAGCGCGATGGAACAGTCTCACCGAAGAGGAGAAACAAGCATACATTGACAAAAAGAAAGCGTCGGAGCACACGGGGAAAGGTACCTACTCGTATGATTGAGATTGAGACCATCATCATTATTTCAGAGCCGGCTTGTCGATTTCAGCTGCTTAGGTGGGAAGTAGAAGAGGACTAAAAAACATGTCTTTTATTCAATCGCATTGTCGAATGGGTAGCAAGAACAACCTATGGTCAACATATTGTCGTTTCTCTTAACAGAATAACATTAAAGTCATTAACATGCCTACTTCTAGTCGAGGAGAACTACTCGGGATGCCAATCAATCAAAATTACTGCGTATCTTCAGGTCGTGGCGGAAAGGGCGGTAAAGGCAAGGGCGGCAAGGGTGAAGACGGCAAAGGAAAAGGCAAAGGTGCTAAGGGCCCGGGTGGAAAGGGTGAGGAGGGTGGTGACCATGAGGATAAGACCCCTGCAACCACCACGTCTACGCCGTCTGAAGAGCCGACTACTACTGGATCTCCCAGCGAATCCTCTTCCACCACGATCTCTGTACCGGCAACGACATCTCCAACCACTGCTGCTCCGGAAAGCACTTTATCTAGCACGACTACCATGTTGCCGGCAAGTACTCCTGCCAGCAGCACGAGTGAAACTACCAGCGCGACATCTACCACCACCGCTGCTTCTCCGACTTTCTCTAAGAGCGGAGCCACCACACAAGTTCTTCGTCGCTTTTTGCAGCCCTACTCGACCGGTTCGTCGTCCAAGGAAAGCTATGACTCGTCTTCTTCTTCCAAGGAGGGCAGCGCAACGTCCTACGACTGGAAGAACTCCTACGATCAGAAAGACGCTGCGTCCTCTCAGATGAAAGGCACCTCCTCTTCTAAGGGCGCTAAGGGCATATCGGACCAGGACACAGAAAAGGAAACAGCAGCGGCTTCGAATAGAGGTATTAGTGCTGCAGAATGGGAGAATTCCTCTGGAATGAAAACTTCGAGCGGTGGAAAGCCAGGCGGTAAAGGATCCTCGTCTTCGAGTGAGCGCGCCCCTGGAAAAGGTGGCAACACTGCATCTGCTTCAGGTGAAAAGCAACGTCCTTCGTCTCAGAAGGAGGGAGAAGATGCACCATTAGTTTCCGGCGATGGGCGCACGATATTCCCGTCGACGGAAGCTGATGTTTTTGGCCAAATGTTCTCTGATGCCGAGAGCAAGATCTTGAATGAGCGCGATGGGTGGTATATTGCTGACGCTGAGGATCGCGAAGATTCTACAAGTACAAGAACAAACGAGAAAGATTCAACTACTAGAGATAATACTAGAAGTAATAAAGAAGACAAAGACTACACGGGAACTTCTGTTACTACAACCTATTTTTCAAATCCAACTTCTACTTCATCTTCCTCCAACATTGCGCGGTGGGAAAACATGCTTGTGACCGACGATGAACTCCATTCGTCCGTTCCTGCACCGGAAGAACGGGACCCCACCCTGTACAACTACGCTGCCTTCGAAACTACGTACCCGGTCGTAACGAATGGCGCAGAAGGGAATGATAAAGCGGACGATGTTGAGACGCGTACTGCGATGTACGGTCCTGCACCGGCGACAGGTGTGTACTACCAGCGCAGTGAAGACTACTTCGAGGAATCTGACGAGGACGTTGCGAATGATGCCGCAGGTCGTCCACGCCATGTGCTCTGGCTGTCTCTTGTGGTCGCAGTGAGCGCACTCTTTCTCTTCTAATTCACAAGAGGGAAGAGTACCCCATGAGAGTCTTGTTTCATATAGACTCTAATGACCCAAGAAACCTGACCTAATTTTGATTTTCATTTTTTTGTTTCTTAATGAAAATTGTTCTTGCCTAGAGGAGCTGAAAATCAATATTATGACGAGTTTGATTCATTCAACACATGCGAACTTGGTGTCTTGGCTTTGATTAGTGTTGGTTACTTACTCTATCGTGGACGAGGTGCCCGCCCTTATAAGATGCTCGTAAATTGATGGTTGTGCATGAGGTTTAATTTTCTATGAGTAATGGTTTTCGGTCTTGCATGTGTGTGATTCATCACACAGAATTCGCAATTTTGTCGCTTGCATCCCCCCAAAAACCGCAGTATATTTTTAAGAAAGACTCACACTATATACCGTAAGTAGCAACTCGTAAAAAATACTAATGTCAGATAGAATTCGATCTAGATGCACATGAATACTTCGTCAGAGAGAGTCACGTCGTTGTTTGTGGTAGAGAAAGTAAAACCAGAGGCTCTCTCAATCGCAAGAACCACCGAGTGGGTCAGTAAAACCAGAGGCTGTCTGCTCACATGAACATGCACTTTGTTTTTTGGCTGTAGTTTTCAGGGAGTAAGACCAGAGGCTTCCTGTCAGTTGGGTAGACTAGTAATACCAGAGGCTGTCTACTCATAGTCATGTAGATTCAGGTCGTCTTCAGGGAGTAAGACCAGAGGCTTCCTGTCAGTTCGGTAGGCTAATAATACCAGAGGCTGCCTACGCATCTATAGATATGCATGAGCGCCCGGCACGGGAGTAATACCAGAGGCTTTCGTGTAGTAGTTGTTTGTAGGCTAGTGATACCAGAGGCTGCCTACGCATCTATAGATATGCACGAACGTCGGCCGGCACGGAAGTAATACCCGAGGCTTCCGTGTTGTAGGCTAGTAATACCAGAGGCTGCCTACGTATGAATTTGCATGGGCGGCCGGCACGAAAGTAATACCAGAGGCTTCCGTGTTGTAGGCTAGTAATGCCAGAGGCTGCCTACGTTGCATGAACGGCTGGCACGGCAGTAATACCAGAGGCTTCCGTGTTGTAGGCTAGTTATACGAGAGGCTGCCTACGTATGAATTTACAGGAGCGGCCGGCACGGCAGTAATACGAGAGGCTTCCGTGTTGTGGGCTAGTAATACCAGAGGCTGCCTGCTGAAAGCTATTGTGCATAGATGCTGTATGACGGGAAGCAAGCCCAGAGGCTTCCTGTTATAGTTTCACCAGAATATAGTCCTTGGAAAGATAGAATCATGGCGCTTGTTCGAGAGTTGCTGCGTTGTCTTGATATCTTAGAGAGCAACTAGCGATTTTGAACAGAGCGACTTTTAGAATAACATCAGATAGCACAATATGAACTGCTTCAACGATAATTTCTTACATATGACTAGAATCCGAATTGATTTACTCTCGTTAATTCTTGTAACTAATTCGTGCATGATAATAATAAATGTAAGTAAATCAAAACACTCCGAGCCGACTTGTTCGACTTTGAATGAGTCTGAGAGCGCGCTACTCGTTCAAACCAACAGCGAAAGGTGTTCTCTGGTTTATACCTGAGATGCGCGATAGGGAGAATATTCGAACAGAGAAGTAGGGAGAGAGACAGAGACAGCAGCTACGGTCTAGTCGAGAGAGAGAGAGATAGCCCCTGGGGGTTGTCGCAGCAAGTGTTGATCATAGTGAGTTGTTTCCCTTGGGTTTATTACGTAACATGGCTTAGTGTGCGTATCGCTTTAGGCGAAAACTGAAAAAAATTGGAGATCATGACAAGGTACTCGCTCAAGGTGCGCGCTCGTCGAACATGGTGTTCGGTAGAGAGCTCAAGATACACGAAAATAGGATCGTGTTCGGTCGAGAAACCGAGATAAAACAAGGAGAAGAAAAGCAGCTAGAGGATTCGGTGAGGGAGATTCGGTTCCCCGAGACGGCCTCTCTGCTGTGTTACGTTGAGAGATGTTGCTACTGCGCTCGAATAGAGGATGGATAGTTATTTGAGTAGAAATTATAAGCTACTTCCTTACGTCAATCATATACCCAATGAATCAATCGAAAAGCGGTTTGCTCCTGGAAGAAACATAATTTCTTCCTCTCGTCCCGGCGCCCCGATCAGCATTCCGTATGACTGTCGCTTAATTTATATTTATCTGCCGTACAAGGTCAAGGGTTTAGTAACTATTATATCTAGGTACTTGTTATTATTTGTTGCTTGAAATGTAATCCATCGTGGGTGAAAATGAAACATGCACGATCATGAGAAGTGGATGATCTTTAGAGATCTAGTTATCGTGTGAGGAAATACAAGATTAATGATCGGATCAAGCTTGTTGCTGTTCGTTTTGTTCAAGCTCTCCTTTTATTCTTGTTTTTCTAGAACACAACTCGCAGTTTGTTAGTCACGTGCATAGACAGCGTTTTTAGCGCCTAGGTTACTGCTTCCTCGTTGCGGATGTACCTCTATCACCTTCCTCGTTGTATTGGCACGAAGAAAAGCAGTTTACTTCTTCGAAAAGAAACGAAGGGTATCAGTGTCTATGTGTTTTTTCTTGTGACGTCTGAAATCCTCGTGAGTGTCGAGAGACAGAGAAAGCGAGATAGAAAAAATCAGAGAATGAGAGAGAGAGAGAGAAAGAGACAGAGTGCTGGTAGAAGAGAGGGAGACTGATAAGCCTGCTCGGAGCATTGGCTTCATACCTATGTACATTACTATTCGAGTGGAAATACTGGATGAGAGCAGCGAATTTCGAGGTGAACGACTGAGAAGAGTCTGATCGAGGAGATGGTCAGCTAGCACGACACCTACACAATACTTGCACTTGGATGATGATGATGTTGTGTGAAGTATGATCACTTCTAGTTGCGCATTGTAATTTACATATTCAGCAGGAGGGAGGTCATCGAAGAGATGAGACCTAAGTACGTAAAAACCTGTGTTTATCTATTTGTAGTTAGTCTTAATCAATGACGAAGAATCCTCAAGCAGCATCAGTTAACCAATGACAAGCCACAAAGTTGAAACTTATTAGACAAAACTTGAAAGTCATTGAGCGAATTCATCCGAGAATGGAGTCTAGAGTGTTGAAGCTGAGTTTTTGTTTTAATCGCAAATATTAAAAGATGTTTGTCATTCTGCGCGTCCACTGGAACAAGGACGTGGTCTTGGTCGATGTCCACCTGAAGAAGCGGCTGAGTCATTTGCGCTATCTTTTGATGAAGGACTACAGGATTCCTCGGACCAGTAGGCTTCTCGTCTTACAAACCGACGATGGCGTGCGGGAGCTAGAGGACACTCAGCCGCTAAGCGAGCAAGGCGTCGTTGATGGAAGCGATGTACTCGTTCGTGAGGTCCTGCCTCCGGTTGCGGTCGTACGAAAAGACGAGCACATGCTTCGCAACCATTATGATGAGCGCTGGTAGTGGTGAAACGATTATCTCCTAGGCAAGTGTGCGACTCTTGAAAGTACTTAAACCTAAAGCAACAACTTCTTGGCAAGAGATTGCTCCTTCCTTAGCCGTAGTTACAAGTTTTTGAGTATCCACTATTCCTACATCGACCGACGTTCTAAATCAAATTTTTTGCCGGCGCGCCTGCATCAAGGGGACCGAAAGTCGGGCCATGGATGGTTCTTTCAAAAGGGGAAATGTACGTCGACGACGGATTCGCTGGTGGATCGACGCAATTGGCATTTCGCTCTGTTGATCTGAGAAATTTGCACCGCCCCTTGACAAACGAGGAGGATGTTGGAACGTACCGACATGGAGTGAGTGTGAGTAGTACGTTGGCACATGGTCGTCAGGTGGACACAACGTGGGGCTTCACAACAAGAACTACAGGAGAGGGGGCTGCAGGGTTTCTCACGGGTCCTCAACATTTAGGAACCTCAAGGCCGGGACTACATCATACTGAAGATCTTTCGAGAGGACGGGATGACCTTTCATCTCAAAGAAAAACCACAGGGAAGGTGAATGTAGTTGTACCATTAAAGAACGCGTCGTCTACTTCATCAATAAAAGCCGCAGCCTTGAAAGTGTCAGAGCTTTTGACGACTCTGCCTCTTCATTTTGCTAGGCTAGAGAAGCATTTGGCTCTCCAGCCAGAAGTACTGCAGCAGATGCTGCACGTGCCCGCGATGCAATCTTTGCTAAATGACCGAGATTTCCTCCAGAAGGTGATCGAATCGAACCCTGCAACGAAAGAGCTACTAGACGCTGAGCCTGCTTTTAGGGCTGCTGTGGTTCAGGAGGGCGTAGGACCACTAGGGAGATCTTCGCTTAAAGCCGAATTGTCGGCTTTCGGCCGATGGAAGCTGGACGCATCAGATCAGGGACCACAGGGAACAAATCACCAGGCAAGTATAATCAGTGATATTCCTAATGATCGACGGGCAGGCAGTCAGAGTCAACACAAGCAAATACGTGAAGACTTTCGAAATCCAAGTATCTTGCAGTCGAAGCTGGCACAAACGGAAGAATGTATCCAAAAAGTAAACGCAGCACCAGGAAGTGCGCAGCATGTGGGTGAACTTTTCAAAAAATGGATTGAGCCATATTGTGCTGATAATAAATCGTTTGGTGCTCTAGAAGTCGAGGATCTGTATGTCGCGTCTACAGCAGGGGCAGCACTAGACGGTCTACTTGGTCATGGAGCCGGGGACAGAAATGATCGAGATGGAGCTGCGATTATGAAGCCGAAAAATCAAATGTCAAAGAATATAAATCATGTTCTTAGTGTTGAGAAAGGGATGCGTTCAACAAGGCCTCGGAAATTCGAAGCATCCAAGCACGGCCTGACGAAGATCGAAGAAGAATCAGTTTCTTTGGGTACGACAACTGATGAAACTGCTGCTGGAGATCGGCTGGATGGTAATGCGGTTGCCAGTCTCCTTCAGGATCCAAATTTGCAAGCCTTACTGGCATCCTACATGGAAACCACGGAGAGGAGAAGCGCCTTCTGCACGTCGTTTTCAAATCCGGCATTCGTTGCTGCCCTATTCAACCCGACCAATATGCAGGCTTTACCCGTCTTGGAAAGCTTTTTTTATGGACAAGGGAGTCTAGTTTTTTTCTTCCACTTCTTTAGAAGAACTCGAAAGAGCACAAAGAGACATCTAAATCTCTGATCGCTGTTCGTCTCTTCTGACTGGCAATGTTCTGCTCAGTGGATCGATCACACAATGTATAATTGAGTCGTTAAATTTTATGTGGCATATTATACGGCAATACGGGAAGGAAGATGCTTTGACAACGAACTTCTTTCATATTGGGGGCAAGACATCCCGTTTCGCGGACAGATTTGGGGACTTTCTGCAGGCAAACGCGCATAATCCGGAAAATGTATATCGGTCACAACTCGCTAAGCTGCGAAACACTGGATTTCACGATACTGCGGCGAACATTGCAGCACTAGAAAAGTGTGACGGGAAGGTGCATCGAGCCATCGAGATACTCCTTTTGCAACAGGCGTTTGCGTGAGCCGTCGTATTTATAGCCGAGGATATTACTTGTTAGACGTCTACTTCGTAGAAACCAAACTGACTATTGTCACTTGTAGTCGGTTGCATTTCGAAGATTCGAAGAGGACCGAGTAGTGCTAGTATCATGGTAACAAGCATTTTTTGATTCAGATGATGAAAGAACGACCCACAAGAAGCGGTGAGATGCAGTTCTTTGCAGTGCACAGAAAGAAGTAAATAGCTTTAGCGTTTCCAAGAATTTGTAGTACTGTCTTTTATCGTAGCTGCTCGTAACCAAGCACGTAGTTGTAATTTGAAAGAACAAAACGAGATGGTGGCGCATGGTGGTTCGAGATCTCCCTCGGCTTCGTGCTTAGATGGGCAGCGTCCCAAAAATGCACCGAATTCGAATCTTATCGCATATGCCTGTCTATGCTAACTTAATCTCCATCTACAACTGCGAGAAAGCAACTTCTCGCTAGTCGTTCCCGGGCAGGAGACAACTTTTTTTGCGGACAGGGGATGTTTTTGGTATTGCAGCGTTCTGTGTCCTCGTCTGAGGGGAGAAGATCTTGCCGGCGATGGAGGATGATCTACCAGGAACGTTGGAAAAGCCGCCTGAATAAAAAGAGGGCCCAGAATTCCCGTGAGTAAATCTCTAGAAGGTCTGGCTTTTAATATACGTAGCATTACTTTTGTTTCTCTGTGACTCGGTGTGTCGGTGAGGAGCAATACAAACTTATTGGCAGCCATGCCATGCCGCTTCTTCACCGTTCGATACTGGTCGTCGACATTTCAAACTGAATGATAGCTGAAGATCACAAATAGAACATTCATCTGGCAAATGAAGTGGCTCCAAATCATGTATTGTTTTTCCTGACGAATCATGAGTAAAAACGTGATTGGATTGTGCACGCCCCACAGCTACACAGAGACACTTGCGCGAGAGGTGAGAGTTGATGTTGAAGAAAATCTAAGGAAAGCATTGCAGAAATTACGTCTTCCGAGGGACGTACTTCGCTTTCATAGACACTAAAACACTTGAAAAAGGAAAGGTGCTGCCCCTACATGTGATTTAGACTAGACTGAGTCAGAAAACTTTTGCCATCTTCTGAAGCCCAAATCCTATGTAGAATTTTCAGAGGCATCTGTACCGCTAACAGTTTCAACGAGCCTTATAGGTATCTGTGCTTTTTCATCACTCGTTTCTTTAGTTCTTTAGTCAACGGCGAAAATACAAGCAAAGGCGATTGTTGTTGGAAAATGGAGAAAGCATGAAGAAAGACGCAAAGGAGGACAAACATAATTAGAAACAGTGCATACCCGTCAAAGTGGCTGGGTATATCATCATCATCGTCATGCCGTGAATCTTTATCTTGTGTCCTTTCATTCTTCGTTCACTTTTTCGATGGAGGACTCCATGTTTATACCCTCTTGATTATTTAGTCAACATGATGTTCTCTGTGATTCAACATGTTGGAGCCCTCACGTTGTGGTGGGCCTGGGCAGGTTGTCTGATTATGGCCAGCGCGGGCGCTGCCCCTGAGAAGAAGGCGCCAGTCCCCAAGCAGGAGCATCGTTCTGCCGCTCGTTCGCCACCAACAGCAGCATCTTCTTGGTTGGAGCAAGGTGTCGTGGAGAATGAGGCAGCAGTGGCGTCTGCGGTGAACGCTTTCTCTGACCTGCAAGAACAGCTTGCCGCTACGGTCGATGAAGACCAAGTTCCCTTGTTCGTGGAGTTGGTCTCCATTGATTCGCAAACTGAACTTGTCACACCGATTGCGCAGTATGCACAGCTTGTCTTCGAAGAGGCGCGACTGATCATCCTGAAAAAAAGCCGTGCGTTCGTGCGCCAGCAAGCTGGGGACGACGAAGACGAGAGAGTGGATCAGCACGCTCGTGGGGCAGAAGCTGACACAAGTGCGCTCGAGGACGACCTCCTTCTTCGCGCTTTTGGCTTCGACAGATGCAATCCGAAAGATTTGCATCTGTTGATCCAGTATCAGTTTTTGAAACAGTTCCAGATTCATGAGCTAAAGCGTAAGAAATACGAATTCCTTCTTGACGCAAATGCAAAGACGTCTTCGTCTTTGGCGGGTGATTCTCGAGATGAAGATGTTCGTGCTCCATCACGCCCACCTGATGCTGCAAATTGGATGGAGCATCGGCAGCTTGCTTTGAGCAAATTTCTGGAGAAGGCTGCTTGGAATCACTTTTTGCAAGAGGAAGGATCTGATGAATCGGTCGACGATGGCGTGAATATGTTCTTGGCCACCTGGATAAGCGCCGCTGAGGTAGTGCCGTCCAATCATAGACGACAGAACGACACGGTATTTGACGAACTCGAGAGTGGTTTTGCGGTCGCAGTGCCTGATGACAAGATGGAGGAAACACTACGGTCAGCAGCGAGGTCTTGTTCGTTCTGGATCGGAGATGAGCCCAATGCGGTCTTAGACTCTATTCGTCCGCCAGTTCTAGTTCAGTCACACGCGAATGTCTTGCAGGCGGGCTTGACGAAGGAAGTGGACACCAAAGTCGATGGGTCCGTTAACAAAGAAGCCGAGAAGAGTGAAGGTGACGGTAAAGAAACTAACGCGCTTCTCAGACCATCGAATTTGCGTGGTGGGCCGTTTCTGCACGGATATGATTTGACGTCATTGGACGAACATAGCATCGTATCTTCGAGTAGAAAACCTTCAAAAGATGCCATTGTGGTTACTCGTCCACTGATAGTGAATCAGGAAGCTTTCGAGGAAGCGCGCTTGCTCATGCGGATATGGCTACGTGGAGTTGCATCTCCATTATTGAATCATGACATCGGCGATTACATTGTCTGGGCTTCCCATAGCGTATGTGAAGATCCAGCCTGGCAACCCGAAAACTTGTCTACCCCGAATTCATTTTCAACCACTGCGCACCAGCATCCATCTCCTGTTGTACATGTCCTGCCGGGTCAGACAGATGAATCACCGCAGCATACATCACGCGTAGCGAAATTGCTGCGGTGCTCTTTGTCAGATTTGCACGCAATTGGGCGATTCAGGTTTCTATTTGACATCTCGGACCGTCCTGAGGCGTGGGAGAGGGATCCAGGCGTCTCAGCAGACTCATTTTTGTGTCGCACTGCTCTAGAACCGTTTCAGGAACTACAGAGTGCGGACCCATTCGAACATGATATCGAGTTAAGTACAAAAGGTCTCCGAAATGCCGCAAAGCTGCGTTTGATAACGGCAGGTGATGACTCAAGCGGTCGTTGGAACGAAAATGCCATCGAGGAAGCACAAGACGAGTTGAGAGTAGCAGTATCGCATTGCGCAGCCGCATTGAGTAGCGACGTGATTCGAAAGTCGGTGCAGCGGTTTCTGCGGAACAGTAAAAGGCTGACTCCTGCCAGCTCTGGTGGTTGCCATCACGCGGCTGGTGCTTCTGCTACGACACTGGTAGCTGGGGAGAAGGATTCCGGAGAAGATGAAGATGATGGAAAGGTTGACGAGGACTCAGAAATCAGTGACTTAAGCAGACTAATTCACGAATTGATGCTTCAATCGACTGGCAACTTCGTCTCTACCGCACCAGAGCAGAGCGCAACCCACAGCACTGGAGGAGCAGGTCAGGACGATGCAAAAGCCAACGTGCCTGGCGAAAAGCCGAGAACTAAGGGTCCAGAAAAGGTTGTCAGCGCTGAACTCCAAGCGAAGCGAGCGGCTCTCCGGGCGAAGCAACAAGCAAAGCAAGCCGAGGTCACGAAAAAGAGGCTGCAATTTCTGCGGGCAAAGCATCAGGCCAAACAGGAAGCTCAGATGAAGAATGATAATCGCGATGTTGCTAGAGGATCTGCTTCATCTCATCATGCGTCACAGGACGGAGACACTGCAGCGGGGCCACCTGGTACTTCGTCAGAGTCCACGGCGCTATCTGCCGATAAGGGTCACGTTCTTGGTAATGCAGCACCGGGCGAAAGTATAAAGACACCTGGTCGTCACGCGTCGACCCCTGTAACACTACCGTCGCCAGTTCTTGCAAATGAAACAGGCGACAAGCTGGAGAAGGAAGCGACTCGAGGATCAGAAAATAAGTCTGCTGCGACCGAAGTCCTGCCGGTGAACGAGGAGCCAAAAGATGAGAGCAGTCGCAAAGACGCCGAGCAGGATACTGAAGGAGTTGTCGAAGAACACAGCAAAAAAGTCGAAAAATTTGAGGTCGTTCAGCAGATTGCAAGTGAAACCTTCCCAAAAGCACAGCAAGGAGAAAATGCTGACGGTCAGGTTTGTGCAGAAAGTATCACTGAGCAGCCGAAAGATGCAATCCCCTCTTTCTCGTCGGATGCCGGGGAGATAGAGCAGGACGCAAATCCGGAGCCGCCGACTGATGAGATTGAGTGTCCTGTTTCGTCTTTACCTTCGCCGCCTGTACCAGAGACATTGGCGGAAAAGCATGATCATGCTGCTGTCGGTGCATCGGAGCAGAGGGAACGATCGGAGGAAGTCGAAGGCAAGTGTAAGGATCAACAATTTTCAGAAAGAGCAGAGGTGCCTCCTACTGTAGCGCGTTCATCTGACGATAATCCTACTGCTGTTAATTCTGCTGCTGTTGTGTCCGGAATCCTGGGTGCCGTTACCGTCTCAGACACGAAGATCTTGCCTGCAGTTCCTGGCGTGTTTGAGACAACGCAGATCCCTCTGGTCGCGGATGACGAGAATCCAGTAATTCAATGGGCACTGGAGAACGAAGATGCACGAGTCTCAGACTTTGCACTACCACAAAAGGTGGAGCGCATCTACCCAGATGCAACCTTGCTCCACGCGGCTGAAGTGGTGCGCGTTTTGGAACAAATGACAGAGAGGTATAAAGCTTTTTGCTAGTGATTTTTTCTGTATGGTGATTGTTTGCTTTCGATTTTACCATGCTCTTTGTGATCGTGCCCATGATTGAATGTTCTACTTCATATCTTTAAGGCCCTCAACTAATCGAATAGACTATTCAGGTCTTCAGCGTCGCATCAATTCGAGCAGTGGTTTCCGAAATCAACCGACATTTTTGCGCGCGTCTATGGAAGCGAGACGCAAGCAGGACCAGCTTATGGAGATTCATTTTTTCATGCGGTTTCCAACAGACTTCTTCTGGCACCTCCGGAGCATCCGTTTGTTTTCACTGAGATGACTGGGAAAAGGGCGAGTGCGAGCAGCGGCGCAGGTGGGAGTCACAGTTTCGACGCTCGTACAATCTTGGGTAGACAATGGGTACTTCATGAATTGGGTCCCGATGGCAGCATGAAAAATGCTCACCCTGAGATGCGCGCGCGATATTTGCGAAAGAAGGTTGTAGAGGAACTCGAGAAGCTTTGCAAAGAAGAGAGTGCTCAATTGAAAGCACTAGAGCAGTACTCAATCACGGTAAGTCATGAAGGCAGCGATTATTTGATTCGACGCGGTGTGCAGCTGGAATCTGATGTGGAGTTACAAGCTGTGGCGGAAGTGCTAGGAGTCGGTATCCGCGTGTGGGAAATCGACGAGGAAATAATTGTGAACGCTGAACGCGATGAGGATGCAGCAACAATTTCAGACACGCAGTTTCCTTACTTTCATCCGTATCGCGCGAAGGTTACGTATATGCCATCGGGAAAAGCCCGCCTCATGGTGCAGGAGGACAAGGCTGAAGCAAGCGGAATCACTTCTAGTGTGGCGGGACCGGGAGGTCGGTCTCGGAAGAATCGACGGAAGATCAGAAATGCCCGCAAACTTGTCATGGTTGAAGAACCTCAACAGCCTTCGCACTATGTGGTTGATGTTTTACTCGAGTACCGTCAGAACGGTGACCTTGCTGTGCCCCTAGTCGATGGAGGCGTGGACCCTTCTCTTCAGTTCTCAAATGAAGGCAAAAACTATCGTGCGATTTACTACAACATTGAAAACCTGTTTGACTCTGAAATATTGCGGGAAAAGCATCAAGTGATGTATTTGACAGACGCTCGCAGGGAAAGAGACTGCTCAGATCTTCAAGACAATGCGAACGAAAATATAGTAGACTCTGCGCCAGCTCCAGCGAAGTCACCGTCTAAAAGTCCGCCTGCTTTCATGTCGCCGAGGGAAGTTGGGACCCTCAATGGCGAAGCAGCGCAGTTATTTCGTCGTGCGGAAGGCAGTGAGAGAGTCGAGCGGCGCATTGTGAACCAGCAAAACGGAAATCCCGTGGAGGGTGCTCGTGGTGTCTGGCGCGCTCTTCCTGCGTGGACTCCAGTCCCATATGAAGTGGCGCAGGGCCTTGGCGTTCCGACTTATCCGAACGCGCCGACGGGAAAGAGTCCTGCCATCAGTTCGGGTGTAAACGCAGCAGTGACCCAGATGGCTGCGGCCATCGACCGGCAAAGCAACCTGCAAGCCTCTTCACCACAAGCAGGCGATGCAGGAACTACAATCGGGAGCTCTACTCAAGCATCCGACAACGACGTAACGTCTGTGGCGACCCTTGAAGTGCTGGCAACTTCTAGTCACGCTGTCACGTCGGGGCAGGAACAAGCGACCATAACCGAAAATAAAAGTGCAGTTTTGGTGAACAACGGTGGTGCGACTCCGCCATTAACAGAGACTGAAAGAGAAGTAGTGCAGCTCTCATCCGGTTTGCCAGTGGAGCGAGTCGTCACGGTGTTCACCACCACCTTGCAAAACGCTCTCAATGCATCAGAGGGTCGCGGAGGACAGCTCACAACGATTGCCCGAGAGTCACACCAGTTGCCGCATTCAGGAAACATGTATGTTCGTCGTGTAGACGCGGAGCGATACCATGCCGACGGCATTGTGATCTCTATGGAGGGTTCAAATGGCAATTGGAGTCGAGTTGTCCCGGCACAGCTCGCGTGGGTCCAACAGCGCGTCCTTGAGTTGCGGCTTTCCGTAGAACAACCAGTGACGCAGGAACAGGCTGTGGGAGGAGGAGAGCAGCAAGTGACAGGTACAGTGGCGAACGAGATCGCGCATGTGCTCTCTACACTGGATTCGCCTCCTCAGGCGCGACCAGAAGTGCTAAGCAGGATCACGACTTTGGAAGGAGAGTTGAGGTCTGTACTAACTGAATATCATCAACTTTTTGGTAAAGCGACCGCGAAAATGCAGGCGAAGCAACAAGCGGATTTTGTAGCAGGCGGCGACTTCGACACACGAGTAAGCGGCTTAGTACGTGAAGTGACCCAGTACGGGTCGCAAGACGAGCTAGGTCGCTTGGAGGCACTGCGAGAAGTGTACCATGAGGCTGCGCGCTTTGGAGATGTGCTGGAAAATGGCGAATTGAACGTGATCTACCGCAAGCAGCGAGTTATTCGGGCTACTAAAATTGCGTTGCAAAAGTTGATACAAGAATACAGAGCCGGCTTCCAGCGACTCGATAGTGATGGCACAGAGCACACAGAAGTAAGTGCCGGAAATGCCTTCTGGAAGGACATCGTTCAGAACCGGCTAATGGGTCACGAGAATGGCGTGGACCAAGGTTCGACTTCAGAGGATTCTGTCGGCAACGTGGCTTCAGGTCCAGCGGCTAACGGGGCTTCCACCAGTCAATTCTTCGCCTCAAACCCACCACAGAATCTGGACGACTATCTGTCCCGTTTCATCGTTGACGCAGGCGTGTACCCTTTGCAGGTGAACCCGGACTCCGTGAGTGAGACGATCTATGTGTTTTCGGCGGTTGTCCAGAATTTAGCTGGTGAACTTCGGCACGTTGTTGAGATCTGCGGACACATGGGCACCGCTGAGGACCCAACGATCAGTCTAGGGATGCTGCGGTGGATGCAAAGTCGGCAAACGCTAGCTGTGAAACACGGTTTGGATCCGGATGACATGAGTATCGATGAACAAACAGGTGAATCCCCAGCCTCGAGGGTCGACACGCTTCGACGCAAAGCCGGACGCATGCTTGCGCGTGCATTGTATTTCCATTTGCAACAAAGAGAGAACGTGTTTATGCATACCCACGGGGGTACGCGGCGTTTTGCGCACAGACTCGTGCATTTCGCTGGCTGCGAGCCAGACATTCCGTTGTTTCGGATCGTTCGAGACGAGGTGCAGACTGCTCACGAAGCGGTGAATGCTGCCACTGCCTTTGCCGCAACAAGTAGGACATGTTCTTCCAAGGATCTTCCTGGTGAGAAAACAAGTTTTCATGTGCAGGTGGAATCCACACCGGACGTTGCACCCATGTTCGCTTTCGGCAGGGGCGCCGAAGCAGTGAATGAGCGTCAGATCTGGGATACTGATAATCAGAAAATGGCGGACAATTTCCAGGTGGTTGAGACGCACTATCAGCCGGATGAGGTTGCAACTGATCAACAGGCAGCCAGCATGCCTGATTCGGATTTCGTTTATGATGGTAGCGCCTCTGTTAGCGAGGGCGGCATGAGCGGAGCCGCGCCAGGTCAGGAGTCGTCCGCTGAGTCCCTGAATCCCAACGGTGATCTCGGAGGCGCTACTGTTGTTGCGTACGTTCGATCGGCGTACAGCGCACCAGATCACGGCCGGCCGAAGGGACGCTATTACCTGGCGATGACGGTGCAGCAATTCTTCGGCATGTATCAGTTGGGCGCTTATCAATGGTCCACAGTGGACAATCGCATGGACGCTAGTCCTAACTACCTGAACAGTGACCTTCAACATCGATCTTGTTCGTCTCCTACGCGCACACGAGGCGCGTGTGGCAGCAACGACGTGCCACCTGGTTATGAACGAAGCCACGCAGCCATAGAAATTGCCAGACTTCTGGCAGCGACGGCATCGCATGCTGCAACCAAACCAGTATCGGAGTGGGCGGCTGTTAGAGCACAGATGGTGGGACAAAATGCAACTGCTGATGATCATGTTGCTCTTGGCGCGTCACGATCCGCGTCCGCCTGAGCTGCAGGGATCGCCGAGTGGAGCCACGCTCCAGTACGAACGCCTTTTGACGGCCACTCCTTTTTCCATTCGTTCATTGCTGCGTTCGATAATGAGGCCCACTAGACTCAGATTGGCCGTGGCGTTGTTACCGATGCAGCAGGGCAGACGCACATTGTGGAGCAGGCCGCACCAGATCGAGCGTACAACCGCGTGGGCGACCTGCGTAGCCGCGTAGGCGAGTACTTGCAAGAAGGCGACAGCGCAGGTGATAGCGCTTTGAGCGACATTATGACCGGTTCGGGAAACCCGGTTTCGGAGATGGCAGACGCAGTGCGCGCTGGAATCGGCCTCCGCTTCGTGGCGACAAGATTGACTCCGGAGCAAATCGCTGCTGTACGTATTGCCCTAGTTCGTTTGCATCCGTACCTAGCGATACAGATCGTGCGTGAGGGGAGTTCTGATAGTACAGGCACTGCAGCTACGACTGAAGTGGAAATATGAGCTACAAAAACCAGCAGGACTTCCTTCATTTCAGCATCGCTGCCTGAAGCTGAGACTGATGGCATCGAACACCCAACATCTGCTCAACTGGGCACATTGAGAGTGATTCGCTTGTTGCAGCATGCAAGCAAAGAAGAGGGCTCTTCTGTCACAGCGCAAGAAAAAAGTAGAACTGCGGCAAAGCGGTCGATGAAGATGATGATGAAGAGAAGCCCCTCAATTTTCGCTATAAATAACGAACATAAATCACGAACTTGAGGCACGATGAAGGAGTAGTCGTTGGAGAAAATAAATTGAAAACAAAGAAGATACTGAGCAGGAGTCTTTTTCTATCCGTTCTTGCTTACAAAGCATAGTAGTAGTACCATTGAAGAATGAAAGTGTACTTGTTCAGATTTGCTTCCCCCTTCTGAGCATGATGAAAGATCACGGAACGAATGCCATTTATCGTTTTCGTGCGGTGGATATATCCCGAGCCCTCGCAGGAAACCCTAAAGGGAGTTTGTGTAGAATGGTGTAAAAACTAAATGCCCCACACTGTACATTATTTTCATTTCAAACATAAAGACTAAGAATCAATAGAGGAAATCTAAATGATGAATCTGAATCAATGATGTTTGTGGATTTGTACTAGGTCGTTGAAACATGCGCGTATCATGCTCAATCATAAGAAAGAATACCGACGGGGTTTTACAATCATTCTACGATGGGCGATTGCGTGTCATAAAACTTGAATGGGATGTTGCAGCAGATGCATGTTTCTCCTTTTCGTGGTAATCTGACTGTGGCCCCAAGAAATTGAAAAACGCAATAGTGAGGAGGCAACTCTTCGTACTTGGTATTGGGCTGTCCTTTCCCGAGCTTCGTCCATCGAGAAAAGCGAAGTTCCGATCTACACAAGCAGCGCCGCGAAGAGCGCTCAGCCTTGAGGTTGATCGATAATGGAATGATAACATTCTAGGTGGAGGCGAGGAGCCCAGGAGGTATCAGGGAGGGCAAGAGCAAACACGGTTTTTCTTATGTTTAAATCCTAACCCTAAGGCATCTCTATAAATTTTTTTAGATTTTCGGACCGCACGGGCCAACGTGACTGTTAGTTCCTAGAATTCATCAGCGTGGGTTCCACGTTGATACCGTGTGCAGATGAGCAAGCATCCAATCCCTTGTTTGACGGTACGTGATTGTACTTGACATATCGATAGCAACAAAAAATGGTGCTTGTCCGACTCATTAACGTCGCTGGGGACTTGTTCCATCATGTCTTGCTGGAAGAGGACGACAAGCCTTGTATTGTGGGTGACTTGCGCTCTTCTCTGAGCTTCGCGCGCAAGATCCCCACGTGCATGCTCGCAGTTTTTCTGCATGAGGAAGATCGGAGAGACGAACAGGTCTTTGCGGAGCGGGATGAGCCCTTGGTAGACGATACGATCATTTCCGAAAATACGGTGTATCGGGTTGCGGAGAAGACGTGGCGGTCTTTGCTCCGCGACGAAGATTTTGATCTAACCAGAATAGTGAGGAGGAAAAGCGGTAGAGCCGTTGCAGGTTACGACGCAGAAGATGACGGGACTGTATTAAGGACATTGTGATTGGCAAAGTTACTAATGTGACCAGAGGTGGAGGACTTCATTGATATTCAACGAACGCGTGGTCGCCCAACCCGATGTACTTCTCGATGAGCATCAGTATTCTGAGTAGAGTATTCATCAATAGATGCAGTTAATTACCTAGGAACTAACATTTCACAGCTTTGAGTCCCGCTCTAATCATTATGATCCGCCGAATGGCATCCAGCAGTCTGGAAAAAATAAGAGTCCAGAGGTCGATGATAGAAGTAGTGACAGTGATAGCGAGGGTTATCGCATCGTCCTAGCGCATCGCGACTACGTCCGAAAGTGTCATGTCCGAAGCCAATCACACTTGTTGCTCTATTCGCGTAGCGAGAGGCATTTGGTGCAACTGCTCATGGGACCGCGAGGTGAGGATCGGGATCTCTGCGCGCTGGCACGCAGCATGCTATTCACGATGAGGGACAATGACTCGGACGATTCGGACGAATCCCATCTTCCTGAAGGAGACGATAGTGACGACAACCGCCGCGTATCCGAATGTCTCGTGATTTCGCTTGTGACGCGTTGCTTTAAGAAGTTTTGGGGCACTGCGCTCACACTTTTGCTCAATGACTTGTCGCCAACTCTCGCGGAAAGGCAAGCATCGATTTTGGCAACATCAGGTAGCTCATCTTCTTCGGCCTCGACTTCACAGGGAGTCACGACCTCCTCGTCAGCGGATGTACGAAGCGCTTTGTTTCTAAAGAGTCGCATTTTGAACCAGGTTTTGAGCCTGGAAGACATAGTGCAACTTTCTGATAGTAGTAGCGAAGATAGTAGAGACAACATTTTTCTAGCTGCGCTTATTCGAGATCTGAAAATCACCCCTTTGGACGAAATGGCCATCAAAGCTAATGATTTAGTTAAGTCCTCTGTACCACCTGAGTTTGCTGATTTGTTACCCTCCTTACCCGAAAAATTCAGCAGGATAAGAAGCATTTTGAACGGAGAGAATGATTTCACATCCACATGCTGACTGCAATTCATTGCTTGCCACGGCATTCGTATCTATGGAAGAGTCATTTTTGTTGGTGTTGGTTTCCTCGTGTTGATGTTGAAAGGAAAAGATGTGGAGAAAGCGACAAAAGAGAAATCTTAACCCACATGAAACGCAGCAGTCTCCGAAGTATTCCTTGGAATTATAGGCCAAAACGGAAACAGATGTACGCTTAGAGAAGCAGAAAATACAAGAGTGAGAGTTTCATCAGACGAGGTTCCATAAGTAGTTGCCCCGGACGCTCATGTCCGCGTCGACCTCGCTCTCGCAGGTCAAATGTCTTGCACGGTCAAGGGTCCCTGTGCTATCCTACTGCGACTGGGTTGAGCATGTGCGAGGGTTGGGGATAAAGACGTCAACAGAGTATGCTCTCTGGGCGACGACACGCGAGCGTGGGCGGGAGGTGCCATCACGTCCTGACATCGCCTACAAGGCAACCGGGGAGTGGAGGTCCTGGCGGACGGCCTTAGGAGGCGCACGTGAGCCGAATGCCGGCAGAATAATGAATGAGCGGGCTTGTTGCTGGGTTCTCGACGTGGCTGCAAAAGCTGCCCCGGACTTAGAATTTCAACGGGCTGTAGCGCAGTCGGCACCGAATTTGTTTGTGCGACGACGCGGAAGCGGTGACCGCGGATGGGCAGCGCTACATCTGAAATCGACTGGAGCACCGCACCACGAAAAATACAGCGGGGCACGCAAAAGCGTGTATCGCTATGCCTGCGTGCTCCGGTCATCCGAGGTCGGCAAAGTACTCGTTTGCCCATCGGAGCAGAAATTGCGCGTCTGCACGACAGAAGAACTAGTGGCGACTGATAGAAGTTCTTCGATGTACATTACACAGGTGCGAGTCGACTTCGATGATGATTCACGGTACAGAGTCGATAGCGTATATTTTGACTCCTTTGCGCGACTTGAGAGGTTGTTGGCTACGGGTGTTTTACCGAAACGATCTATCGCCGCATGGGGAGACTTCCAGGAAAATATCGCTCATCATTGCGGTTCTCGACAAGTTGGTAATGTGAACACTCATCGGCGACTGAGTGCAGCAGCGGGAAGCTTGTTGTACGAGCCGCTGGGGCTACAAGCATCTGGTCTCGAGACACTGGGTCGGGTTCACAATGTGTCTTTAAGTGGCTTGCGGTGCTTGCAAAGGGTTGCGAGGTGTCCAGCTACTAGTGTTCCTGGTGAGAGACGCTGCCACGGGAAGCTCTCACGTCGGCCGAAGTCTTCGGTGTATACAGGACCACAGGATGAGGTCGCTCTCGATGCAAACGATGAAGTAGATTTCGTCACTTTTCTGCTTCCACCACGAGACGATACGATTGATCGATTGGAAGGAGCATTCATTTTTCCGAAAATGTTTCTTCTTGAACAGGGATATATCGGAGACAAGGAGAAAGGGATCGAAGGCCAAAAAACAATCACGATGTACCCACCAGGGGCGCCGCGGGCTGCGGACAAAGGCGCCTTTGCCCATGCACAGCAGCCGTTTTTCATAGATTTGGCTGGGAAGCAGGAAGCCGATGCTTCTGACATAGAAAAGTTGCACAGAATATTTAGTACACAAAGTAGATGAAGAAATGTTACAATTCGACTTCGAAGAAAAAGCTGAGAAAGGTGATGATGTACTGATGCTGCTATGAACATAGCCGGGTGTTCCGACGTGTGTCTATGTATTTACTGCAAAGAAATCTTGAAGGCGGATACTATTGATTTTTTTTTGCGCATAAGTAAGCGAAATCACCTTCCTGATAATCGATCGGATTCCCTGATGGCGCACTCCTGTTTAGAAAATCGGTTGGAATTTGCGATGCATGTGGAGACGAAAGGTGCGGCTATAGTATGCTTAGAATTTCGGAAAAGGGCACCTTGTTAGGTTACCATGATATGTGCCTGCAAAAGCGCATCAGCGTGCGTTTATGTTTCACAGTGCACCAGGCTGGAATTGAATTCAAGGACACCAAATCGATTGCCTCTCGTATCGTTGCCACAGAAAAATATTCGAATATTTCATTTTCGTCCTTTGAGTGGACGCTAACGATTCCAAGATTGATGGCCACTGTTGCAAGCGTCGCGGAGATTTTCTTGTAAACGCAATTTTGCAGGGTAACCGATAATGGCTGGGGCTGAAGACTGGTCGATGCTTCTAGCACAGCGCAAACGAACAGGGGACTTGCCGCGGGGAATAGTCGAAGATGTTCATGGCGGCGGCCGTTGTATTTGACGACGGCGCTGTTAGAAGTAGAACAACAAAGGCGAATCTAAAGAAACCGTACCCGACCTTACGGATCTTCTGAGATAGTAGAGGCTGAAAACGCAACGAAGTGGCTGATGACGTCCTTTTGGTGTTTATCGGGGGTTCGGTTTGGGCGCAAACGCATCCCTATTGTCAGCTATAATGAATGGGCTCCCCACGTTCGGAGCCTCGGCATTAAATCATCGACCGAGTACTTTGCATGGACTAAGAGTGGCGTAAGACCGCGAAATATTCCACCCAGGCCAGATGTTGCATACAAACTCTCTGGTGAGTGGCCTGGATGGCCACTTGCACTCGAGAACAAGCGCGCCGCTGCTGTAGAGCTTTCCTTGAAACCTCCACTCTTGAGGACACGTAGCGACTTTGAGTTCCGAAATCGCTTCACGCTGACCAATGAGCGCGCGTTTTCCTGGTTTCGGAATCTCGCACTTGCTCGCCTACCTCACCTAGATTTTCAATGTGCGCCGCCGCATGTTGTTCCGAATCTTTTTGTTCGGCGAAGGGGTGAAGACGATAATGCGTGGGCAGGACTGCATGTAAAAGCTGCAGGAGGGCCGGTGAAGAACCAGACATCCGGCGGCCGGCGCAAGTGGGTGTATGCTTTCTCAGGTATCCTACGATCAAGAGAAATGGGCAGGATTTTCATTTGCGAGCCTGAAAAAAAGGTCAGATTTTGCCGACCGGACGAAATACGAATGCGCTTGCGCCCACGGTCGTCCGAGTTTACAGCACAGGTGCGTGTCGCCCTAATAGACGGGCACCGCGTGCCAGCAAAGAGCGGCTTTGACGCATGCGATCATCTCGCATCTGTGCTGGGTGATTTGCCGCGGCGGTCGATAGAAGCGTGGGCTAGCTTCACGGGGGCAGCACAAATGCGGAAAAGATACTGCACGATGCAGGTCTATCTGCGAGCTAGTGCTTTATTAGCGACGGTGCTCTATCGCCCTGCAGGTATCGAGCACGCATTTCGTGGGGCGTCGGGCGATGCGCATAACATGTTGCTGGGACAGATGCGATGCGTTCAACGCTTGACCTATCGCGGTGTCATGCGAAGTGGTGTCCCTGGAAACTGCGTCGGATCGCTTTCCCGTCGCATTCTGGGGGACGACATGAAAAAGCGTGAGTTACCGTATTACGTGGGTGACCAGGTCGATTTCTTCATCTACATTCTTCGGACAAATGAAAATACAGAATCCTCTCTGAGCGGAGTTTATATCCTTCCCAAGCAAGTTCTCCAGCAGCATGGGTACCTCGCGGATATTGATGCCGAAAAGCGGGGACGAAAATCCCTGGTTCTCTACCCGCCGGGAGAGAACCTTCGAAAAGCGAAACGGAAACTGGACTTCGCGAATGCACAGCAAGAATTTTTCATCGATTTGAAAGGAAAGGAGCGAGGTAGCGCTGACGATATCGCAAAGCTACAGAAAATACTAAAGATGTACAGTGTGACTAGGAAAGTACCGTCAAACTAACAAAATATGCATGATAATGTTTCGCGAAAGATATTATGTGCTGCGGAAAACGATATGCCTGCAGATGCAGCCTTGATGAACAGTTCCTAGAAAATGGAATCGGAATTTTCCCAATTTTGTTGCTAGTCCGGTGTTGATTCATTTCAGATGAAAGTTTTGAGCATTACAGAAAAGGAATGTCCTAAATACGGCTTGTCAAAAGTAAAATAGGACTTAATGATTGTCCCGTGTGCTGGATCCTGTTTTTCGCTTACAGCTGGTTTCTGGATTTGCTTCCTCTGTCCGTCGTGAAGGATTTCCGATTTCCCATCTTACTGCCATCGCCGCTTCTGCATCATGTCGATTACCAATTAAAGCGAGCGCAATCAGGCTTTAATTTCTGTGGTCACAAGTAGCAGGATTTGCTTTCGCTTCCGCGTCGCGTCGCATTTGATTCGACATTTACTGAAATGATGCTTTTCGATCATTTACATTTCTTTTTCCTGCGATGAAGAGCGAATGACGCGGTTTATCACCTATTCCTAGAAGTTTCGAAGTGTAAGGATGACGGCAGACATAACCACAGTGAGCCGAGTTCCCGTACCGGTCGACCAGCAGTCGCAGCTCAATAGCCTTCCGAAGTCATCAGACCCATCACTTTATGTCGCTCCCTCTCGTATCCCAGAGGCAGGAAATGGCCTATTTGCCCATACCGCCATCAGCCGGGATTCAGTGGTAACTAGATATACTGGCAGCATTCTGAGCACGGGCGAAGCTATGCGCCTCGAGGATAAATGCTATCTGATGCGACTAGGGAACGGCATATATGTGGACGGAAATCCTAATCGACCAATAAAGGCTGTCTCTGCAGTAGAGGGAGGAACTGTCGAAGACCGCGAGGTATTGAACCAGAAAGCGCTCCAAGAAGGGCAAGGTGATGTTCTTGTAGCAGAGTCGGAAGAATCTTCTGGCAAACCCAGCAGCATATCGAGCTCGTGCTCCTTAGCGTCGTACCTGAACGATTGTAAGCCTTACAATTGCTATTTCGTGAAGAGACCAGAAGCGGGATGTGCGGACGTCGTCGCTTTACGAGATATTGAACCGGGTGAAGAGTTGTATGTTAGTTACGGAAAAATGTATTGGGCAGGTCATAACCTCACAGCTGGTCCGAAAAACAAGAAAGATGCTGTGGATGCAGCGTAGAAGCGAAGTTAGGCAGGTGAAACATCATGTGAACAAGTAGGTGTTTTTCTCTTGTATTATTCGCTTTCTGCTTTCAGAAAGATAGACAGCCACATGTTGAGATGGCGACATAGAAATTCCTTCATGAAGGTGATCTGATCGACACAAACTTGTTAACTTCCTGAACTTTCTTGTCCCCATGGAGGAAACGCATTCAAGTACCTGTACAGAACCTGTATCGATATCAGCCGAAAAAGCAGCTTCAAGCAGCGTCTCCGCTCGCTTCGCTCTCTTTTTTTTGTTTCGTGTGTTGGTCAGATCGCGTCTAGTTCTGCACGACCTAGCGTCGATTGTTTCTAGAAATTCGATCGTGTCTTCTAAAGGTTTATTGAAAAGTTCTTTCTGGCTGATCGATGATGTTGTTGTTGACGGAGCATGGCGCAGTGACAGTTTTGAGATCGATGAAGACAAGATTGTTGAAAAAAGAAGCTCGGTTGGTCAGTAACATTTGTCGAAGTGTCATTCAAAAAGTGCGCATATCGAATAGTACAACTACATAGTTTTGTAGTTGCTGAGGCTGTTAGTGAACAGAACTGTAGTGCAAAGAAGCACAAATCCTGCAAATATTACATATACGTGGTAAAGAAATAGCAATAGGGATCTTCTTCTTTATGAGTTCTTGTGCGCACTAACTGTGAATGATTACTTCAAAGTTTCAGTACTTCTTAATTTGTCCTGTTAATGGCTTCTGTGTATGTGAATGTTTTGTAAATTGATTTCTTTGAAAAAGTTAAAGATCTGAATTGTTCAATTTCATACAACCATGATGCGTCGTCCTGGTAGTCAGGGTCCTGGAGGTGGGACCATGGCAGCATCGTCCACAAGTGGCAATGCACGAGGGCCCGGAGCACGGGGAGTGGGTGGTAGTCGTCGACCTACGCCACCACGAACGCGCCCCGGCGCCTCCGGCACAGGTTCTTACCATGGGCGTAATAAACCTCTGCTCGAGAGACTCCGGGATGAACTAGCCGGTTTGCGACCGAAGCGCGACAAACTGCGGACGCTGGTCGAGCGCAACGAGGTCGAAGCCGGCGACTTGGCCCATGTGACGACCGAGAAAGAGCAGAAAGCACTTGGTGCAGAAGCGAAACTAGCGCAAAAGGAAGAGGAATTCCTAAGTTTCGTGTCGGCAAGTGCAGCAGAATACAATGCAATCCTGGAGTCGATGGAGAAAATGGAACAAGAAACAAAACAAAATCGACCACTGGTATCATGAATAGATAGTCATAGTCTAGATTATGCTTACTTACCCGGCTCACGGTCGGGCTTGCTTGTTAGAGAAAGTGTGTACATCAAATGCGTTAGTTTCCACGACAATGAGTATTTCTTTCACAGGTTTAATGAACTTCTAGAAGACGAGACTTTTCCATTTGACATCTACAATAAGGTTCGTGAGCAGCGCGACGCCAATGTTGATCTCGATGCCGAACTGGCAGAGCTCGGGAACGAGCTGACGCGCGTAGCGGCTGACGCAGATCGTGCAAAACAGCAGTGCGAGCTTGCCATCAGAGAGATGGGCGGCTTTGATCATGAACTCCAGAGATGTCAAGAATTGTTGCAGGCTGAGCGGTCTCTCGATGCGCGAGCGCTCGAAACGCTACACCGTGATCGCGCATATCTGACGGAACTGAGACAGCACGCGCATTCGATCAAGAACCACGTTCAAGTGTTTTACGTGGGAGAGAGCGCGGCTGGCGTGCACGCGAGGCTTGGGGACGGAGCGACGCGTATTGCTTTTTTCTGTAGCTATAATCATGTTGCTCATTCTGAGGCTGATGTTTGTAAAGACAAAACGATTCGAGTGGACTTACTTATATTGTTCTGATTGATTTCATGTCAACACTCTCTCTTGAAACATCAGCCTCGTGTTCGTCGTCCTCTCTCCGACCTGCTGCAACGGCCACCGCAGCTATGCTACGATCCCCCCGCGTGACGCCAAGCAACGTTGACGCCTTACTGGAAAGTTCGTGTATAGCGAATGGCGCAGATCCCCTTCAGCATCTCGCACAGAACTGTCGCTGCGAGACCTCGGTTTCGAACTGGGTGAAAGTCGATGAGTTTTGGTATCTCGACGACGTCTTCCGGGAAAACTTCACAACTGCAGAACTCGTAGATATCCCGCCATGGCATCCGCGCTTTGTGCAATTGCAACGCGCGGAAGAGCGCGCAGCCTCTACCGTGGCCGGCGGTGGTACTCAGGCAGAAGACGGACACGGAGGAGGCGGGAGAAATTCGGTAACAGGCCTAGATCCGGGAGGTGACGGCGGCACAAATCTTTCTTCGAGTAAAAGCAGAAAGAGCCTCGAAGAATTAGGACTCAGTGCTGCTGTGAAAGCAGGAGCTACAACGGCGACGTGTTCGAAAGATTCTGTCTTGAAAATAGCGAATGACACGGCTCTAGCGGAGGAAGTGGAGGAGCTGAAGCTCGAAGATGAGTCAGTCCAGCAACAATTGGCGCGTAGCCGCATCGCGGAGGCTCTGTTGACGGAGGAAATCCCGTATACACGAGCCATACTGGAGCACAACCACGGTGCTGGCATCTTCTGTTTCCTCGGCAAAGATCGCGGTCTTTTCGAGATGGTCGCTGGGAGGTTAGAGGCCACGTTTCGCGACAACAGTTCGCGAGATCGTGTGGCTGGAGTGCTCCGACGCAATCTCGGAGGAGGAGCCGCAGCTTGTTCTTCGAGTGGAAAAGTAACCACAACGACAGCATCCGGCGTGGGAAGCAATAGTGCTGACACTCCTGCATCGCGATCACAGCCAGGTGGAGTTGCACAAAGGAATAAGGTTGCGTTTGGCGCGACAAACAAAACAACTAGTGCTTCTGCGATGAATAAGAGCAGAAATCCAAATCCAGGCGCATCTAGCAGCTCCAGTACCACAACTTTATCCAGTAATATGAACTCTTCAGAGTATGTCTTCGCTGGCTACCGATTTGTGCGGATTTCTGACGACCACGTGTGCGTTCTGGGTGGTCGAAGGCGCGGGGCGCCTAACCTCGCTGTTCCTAGTCGGGATCCAGATGAGAGAGCGCGAAGCAGCGTGCTTCAAGCACTGGCCGAACCCGATGTGCAGACGAGTTTTTCTCTTCTCTTCGTGCCAGACGAGGGAACTTCGCACCGAACTGCTGTAGAGGCAGTGGCTGGACTTAGCGGCAAGGCTACTACATCAAGCACTCCAGATTTTCTAGCTGCTCTCTCATCTGCAGCCGCGACGCCGTCCGCACCTGCTGAAGGGACGCAATTCTTGCGCACAGTGTTGGATAGTGGGAGGACGACGTATGCGACGCTGATTTTGGAGCAAAGTGGTCTTCAGACTCTCGCTCAGGCACTGCGATGTCGCGCCCTCGACTCTCGCGGAGGCCTTGCGAAGAACGAGCATGAACGGAAGGGCGAAACGGCAGCAAGGGAAGGCGCAGCGAAAGCGGGTCGAGCGGGATGAAAGCCTTTTTATTAACATCATCTGCGTCGACAGTTTCGCGCTTTCTCTGTTGTATGCTTGATGGTACAGGTAAAGCTGAGTCCTCGGCCAAACAACTCATTTGCGTTTCTGCGCCTGCCTTTTATTATCTATCTAACGACGCTAGCCTCCAGCGCATTAGCTCGACATGCGTTGAAGTTGAATGCCTCGGTAGCCACTTGTAGAATCCCCTACTTCTGTGGCTTCGTTTTTAACAACGCTGGGTGTTCTCGGAAATGCTGGCTAGAGAAACTTGTGATGATGCACGCTTACTGCTGAGACACTAGTGCACTGTTTTCTCTTACTTTCCGAATTACAAGTATATATGCGAGGGATTGAGTTGTTTCTCTATTACACGGCACTCGAGGTCTGTCCTATCCGCTCCCTTCGCAAAGGCATAGGTGTGGAGAAGATGGTAAACTTTTGATATCTGTGCGGTTTTCTCCTTGTTTTCTCTTATTGTACAACCGACCCAATCGTGTTGTTCTGTTCTTATGTCCCTAGAGTGGATATGCACATTAACTCAGCTTTTCTTGCTATGTTCGGTAATATCACACAACACCACGAAGATATCCGTTGGTCTTGAATGAGGGTAGAGCACCGCATTAGTTTTTTTTTTTCAGATGAATCCTCCTTTTTTCATCAGAATGAAAGAAAAGCAAGCCAACAACACTGTGAAAATATTTCTGCTTGAGCTACGACCTCTGATTGGTTGTAATTGAGGACATATCCGCTATGGGTCAAAAGTCACGCAAGTTATCGGCTCTTCCATGGACTGATTGTTTTTAGTTTGCTTTACAAGTCAGTTGCGTATGGTTCGAGATCAAGAGTTACTTTTCTCTATGATCCATCTACTTCTATCCCATCATAATTGAGTTTCAAAATGTTCTTTTCGTTTTCTTCTCCTCCAAAAGAAGCTGCGTCGAGTGTGCAGGACGTCGAGGTCAAGGCATCTAAGATTCGGTTGATGACTCGACTAGCGGTAGAGCATGGTTCAATAAATCTTAGTCAAGGGTTCCCGAATGAGCCACCGCCGAAGCGTGGCGTTAGCGCCGTCGTGTGCTCGCTTCTGGGCGGTACGCAAGAGCGCAGCGAACAGCTCGGTCGGACGCCCGTCACTAGTCTTCTGTCCACGACGTCGGGAGAAGGAGCATCTTCGTCCAGTACTTCGTGTCTGTCAGGTGTCGTCGCAGCAGTATGCGGCGGAGGCAGCGGTCCGAAAGAGGAGAAGTCCTTCGGCGATTTCGTCGGAAACGTAATGGAGCAACTGAATACGACGGATGCCTTCTCCCAGTATTCAGTTCCTTTTGGGAGGCCAATTTTGCGGCAGCAGATCGAAGATTATTACGCTCGATGGTATCCCGGTCCGCTCGGATCCACGTACACTGCGCCCGACGGTACCGTTCTGAAAAACGTGGACGCAGACGAGAATGTTACCGTAACGCTTGGTGCGACAGAAGCTTTAGCCGTCACACTACGTGCGATCTGCAAACCAGGGGATAAGATCTGCGTGATAGAGCCGTTCCACGAAATCTACCCGAGTCAAGCCGCGCTCTTCTATTTGCGCGTAGAGGTTGTTCGTTTGCGCGAAGTAAACAACAAATGGTCACTGGATTTCGACGAGGTGCGAAAGAAAATCAAGGGCTGCAAGGCTTTTGTGCTGTGCGACCCACACAACCCGACAGGACGAGTCTTTGATGTGGAAGAGTTACAGAAACTGTGCAAAATCTGTCTGCAAAATAACGCTTACCTCCTGAGCGACGACATCTACGAACACATGATCTACGAAGGCGCCGCGGTCCAAAAACATCTGCTTGGGGGGTACTTGTTGTTACCTTTTATCGGTACTTAACTAGTTGTTACGTTTTATCTAAGTACTTAGAAGTACAACCGATAGCGATCATACAGGGGTGACCAGTCTTCATCTTCTCAAATGACTAAGTAGCTTCACCCAAGGCATAGTGGGTCTTCGCGAGTATTTAGATTATTTCGAGCGGTTGACTTTTTTCACACGAAAAGTTTTCCAGGATCGACACTGTTTCCGTGATGACATTGGACGGCGGTTTCTCCGATGCCGAGATCGCGCGTATGCGGGATCTGTTCATTATTTTGAACAGTGCCAGCAAATCGTTTTCCTGCACGGGGTGGCGCGTCGGCTGGGTGGTTTGTCCCGAGAATTTAACCTCGCGCGTCAGGGCAATCCATGACCAGATGGCGCTCCAAGCTCCTACGCCGATGCAGATCGGCCTCGAGCATTTGCTGGAGAGCTGCGACGAGACATACTACGAGAAGCTGCGTTTGAAGTATGAGGAACGCAGGGACTACATTTAAGGCTTGCTTCTATTCATCTCAAGAGGCATCTTTCACGTGCTTTCAAGGGGGAAAAATAAGCCAAAGATGCACTCCAAGATGAATATCGGAAAGGTCTAATACATCGTCAAGGAACTGCGAGACATGGGGTTCGAGATCGCGGGAGAGAAGGGACCGGAAGCGGCCTACTACGTTTTCGCTCGCTTCCGAAACGTGGGAAGGCTGCGCGATTTCAAGACGCCGACTGAGGCTTGTATGTGGCTCGTGCAAGCACCGGATGGCGTTGCGCTGGTTCCGGGAGATAATTTCTACTACCATGGGGCAAACAACGACTACGTCCGGTTCTGCTTCTGTAGGCAGATGGACGATCTCCGAGAGGCGTGCCGCAGACTACGCGTAAAACTGGAGATAGATAGTAGCACGTGATTTATTGTGAGCCTATCATGATCCCTCTTCGGTACGTCAAGGGTGATTCCCATTCTTTACAGAAAACGCGGTGGTCATTCTAATGAGGTGGTTTCCACCTTCATTTTGCTTTACTCCGATCAACCTATTTCCATTTCGATCATATTACTTACGAGGAATCATACTCATGCTGGTGCTTTCACTTTCCCGCAAATGATATTGATTTGTTGTCATTCTGTGCTACACATATTCTACACGGTCTAAGATCTTCTTTCCGTAGGTTTGAATTTTTGCAAGCAATGTCAAAAGGGGACTTTTCAATGGTAACCCGCACGAAGTGCATGGTTGCTTATAGGGAGAACCTCTTTTGGTTTCACGAATCAACGCAAATGTACGACACTAGTAAGGGTAAGAGTGTCACTTCACTTGGTGACACCGAAGCGTTACCACGCAATATCTTCAACAACGTCGATTCCTACTGCTTGCCGCGAAAAACGTGTCGATGAATGTTCGGCTGCTTACACTGACTTGCAGAAAAGGATACATCGTAAGGAGAAAGCACGTGAGAGCAGGGCGGCTTCGTTTTTACTAAGTACCTGCAAAATGTGCCTCGATTTCAGAAACTGAGCATGAGCTTTCTTGGGAAAAGTGTGAACTGCTTGGCAGCTCCGTGTCTCGAAGTTGTAAAAAGCGAAGTCAGTAGGCGACAAAACAAAGAGATAGTGCCATGTCGAAAAGATACTTACCACGTTTTTCTATTTCATTGATTCATTTAAGTTTGAAACTTATGATAAGCAAAAACGAAACAGGGAATACCTGAAATTGATGAATTCATAGTTCTTCTCAGAATTAGTATAAAAAAATGGTCATACCAAGCGGAACGCGGAACCGCGGTTCTGCCACCCTCGGCAATGCACGGGACCTTCTCGCTGTTGCAGGTAGGTTTACATTGTTCATCTGTACCATACTCTTATGTGTCAAGTCAGTAAAGCAACAACTACTTATCAATTTACTTTGAGCAGTCTGCCGCAGTACTAATTCCAAGTGCCCTTTTACTTAGCCAAAAAGCAATCTTCGTTCTAGTATGTGATCTCATTAGAATCTATAACTATCAAAAAAAAATCAATCTGCATCTTCACCACCGAGCAGAAGCTGCTTTCGGCGGTAAGCCTATGAGCCTAGCCGATGACAGGTCGACTGTGGCAAGTTCGGCATCTGGATCACGAAGTGTGTCAAAGTCCTACTCGGGAGCCTCATCTAGAATACCGAAGTTCTTCGATGACGACTCTAAAACAACATTTAGAAATGGTACTACTCAGTTTATTTGTTGATTGGCGGATGGCATCAAAGACTTAGAAAATGGCATTTTATTAAAAGTATGCCGAGTTAGTCTTGGTGGGTGTGCATGTCAAGTGCTTTCACTTCTATGAATGTCTTTATATCTTTGGTACATGTATGTTGTTTCTCCAAAATTGATGAATAGCTTGATTTTCTTGAGGTATTGCGGGGGACCATTATGAAATTGGTGCCGCATTGGTGGACTGCTCGTCTAGTGAAAGCGTCGGTGGCGCTCATTGGGCATCAAAAGTGCGGAAAGACGGTCAAGAAACAGCCGAAGATATGATAGGGAAGAAGATCAACATTTTCTTTTTTCTTCGCATCAACTAATTTAAAGCTGAGTGTTCACTGATAGAGTTTTGAAAGTTTTCTGATTGCAACTCGCAGTATGTTGAAGGGGAATTCTAGAAAGCGATGTCATTCCGACATAGTCGTGAATCACTAGCTACTACCAACATTAAATAGTCCACCATCAAGAAGATCAAGCTGTATCTGAATCATTTAATTACTCTCATTCACGAATTCTGCATTTACGACTTAGGGGAGCGAACGGTGTTAACGGAGGTGAACATGAAGTTCGAGCCAGACTCAGAGGAATCACCGCAGTGCGTGCATCTTAGTTACTGCTCAGCAGATCACCTGAAGCAAATTAAAGCGGGCATGGCAGACTTCATCTCCGTAAAGCGAAGCTACGTTGCGAAAGATGGTAAATAAGACACTATGACTGATCTGCTTTCTCTTTTCGGGACGCTGATCATGCTTAAAACTCGCTAGAATAAAGGGCAACGCAAATGAATAATGCGAAAGCTTTCTCGCAACCTTTTTTACCTCTTGTCGACGAATGAATTTACTGACCCTCAGCCGAACGGTTGCACATGGGTTTTCGCTGTGAGGATGCGGCGAGGTTTTGGAAGCTATGCTACCCAATGAACTGGGGAGGCGCGAGGACGGTCGTGAAGAAAATTCAGTTTGTTGCTGAAGATGTCGCAAGCAGAAAGATGTGTACTTTCTTCACTTTCCAAGCTAGGCAGGAAACACCCACGATTTACCTGTCTAATGAAGATTGCGATCATGTGCTCCACTTTCATTCGCGTGCCCTTGCACATTCTCCAAACAAATCACCGCCGGCACAGGTAACGGACTAAAGCAGATGAGTTACGAACATAGTTCACAACTAGGACGCCTCTGCAGTATATTTGACGAAAAGGAGACGCTAACTGACGCGCAACTAGAGGTTCGCGCACTTGCGAGGAAACACGGAATTCCACTGGGTGACGCAGAAACTCTGCGCCTCAAGTTTGAGAAATACGACGAAGACCGAAGTGGTATGTTGTTGTTGCTACGAGGATCTCATTGTGAGTGAGATTACAATTGCTAGTTGGAGTTCGTGTTCAGCTAAAGGAGTCTCGTGTCACTCAAGTTTAGTACTCGCAAATGTTTGCCTCTTACATTGCTGCGATAGGGAATGCAAAAACACCGTCGTAAAAAGTTCAGGAGCCACTCTCTCTCGTCTTGGTCAACATGATCCAGGTCACATATCCAAGGACGAGTTTTCGAATATACTGGCGGAGCTAATCAGAGTCAAAGTCGCCGGCGACATTCCGCAAGAGCGATTCAATCATTACTGGCGCGAGGTCGATACCGATCAGTCAGGAGAAATCTCATTCGAGGAGTTTCTCATATGGTAGAATCATAGAGTCACGTTTTCCTCGCAAATATCTGCTCACCCATACTGTCGAGGCGTCTTTCCTGCTCTTCTAAGTAGTTTTTAGGCTAGCTTGGTCTGCTGGCCCGTTGAGCACAATTGGACATTGACTACTCATTCGTGCCTTCGCCAAGTTCGTCTTGGTTTTCCCCACCCGTCCAGGTACACGAGTATTGTGAAGACAGGAGCCCTGAATCCGAAGTCGTTCTATGCAGCTTTTGGCAAGAACCGCGTCCGAAATATGGTGGAGAATGGCGTTTGGTAGACCGGTGTTTAGGCAGAGAGGACGAGTCATTCACCTGACTCTGACAGATATGAACCTTTCCTTGAACTCATTTATAGCGTTGTAGTACTATGCAGGTACAGGTAGTAGGTGTTTTTGTTTTTCTATCAGTATTGGAATCGATCGGGACCGCATCATTGGGAAAAGCGCATTCGAGTCGTGTCGAAGCAAGTAAATGTAAGTGTACAAATCGTAGGGCGCTCTTTATACCTCCAGACGCAAACGCGTATTGGCTGTCAAGCACAAAAAAAGCAATGAGTGGACGCGTAAAATAAAGAGAAAGAATAGGTGTTGGTGTACGTGAAGCGAGATATTCAGCGCCGCTTTGTCAGGGGTACAAATATGGATGGGTGATGTGGACGAATGAATAGTACAGGGCCGAAGAAATCGGTTGCCGTTCTCGGCTTGAACAGAAGAAAGAAGATAAGCACCTTGTAAACACATTGTATTTTTGAGTCGGACTTGTTTTTTTGAATCATGTTGAAGTTATCTTGGAAAAACACCAGAAATCAAATTTTGCGTAAAAACAGCGTTAGCATGGACACCTGACTTTTATGTAGTGTGAAGGACGAACACAATGGTACAGAAGAATTGCCATACAAAATTATACTAAAAGAAGCATTGCTGACCGCGACTGAGGAGTGCAGACGCCGGCTCTTCACAACCACGTAGCAAGAGCTATCAGCGCAGGTAGAAAGCGGTGTGTGTTCGCCCGGTCCTGAGAGAAGCTAACAGATGACTAGATTTCCCGTTTTACGGACGCCGCAAATAGGAACAAGTGGTGATATTAATCAAAGAGATGATGATGGTTGTGTTTCCGGAAGAATATTGTGAGGACACCTCTTCTATAGTCTTTTGTTAGTTTATGTTGTTCTAGTATCGAAAATGTTCGATGTTCCTAGCAAGGACTATCACACACTGATTACGTTGTTCCTTGCTCGGATTTGCACTCCTCGACCAGGGGCTATGCGAAAGGAGAACACACGAGCAGAGCCTCATGGCACAAGCCGGTAGCTGTGCGAAACAGTAGCCGCGACGACATTGTCCCTGTTGACAATGCTGCAAGGGCGTATGCGGAAGCACTGCAACTTGTCGAGGCGGGAGCCCTTGTCGGCCTGCCCTTCCTTTGCTTTCGGACGGATACAGTTGGTCACTTTGGGGACGTTCATATGCCTGTTGTGCGGTGTTCAGCGTGTGTCTGCGGGAGCTGTTCCAGCGCCACATTGGTCTGGCGTCGATGACAACCCGGATTTGCAGTTTCTGATGGGGTTTGCGTTATGTTCCGCGCGCGAACTGGGAGTGCTCCCGCGAGTACCAGGCACTGGCAAGGCCGCCGCACTCGTAGAACACGTAGACGAGGAAGGCCGCTACTTGCAAGATGCAAGGTTTACAGACGAATACAAGGGAGACAAGGAGCTAGTGCCGGAACTAGGGCCAGAACGAAACCCTCCAGTCGTGGTGAACGCAGATGACCCAGAAAGTCGAGCTCGATTTTTGGAAGTTGCACAACTGCAACAAAGTCGTGATCAAGACGATTCTGCAACGATTGAAGCCAAGCCATCATCGGCAGATGCAAAGCGTCGAATTGCAGGGACTTCTTCATCAGCTTCAATATCGAACGGGAATCTTCAAGATCTCGAAGACAAGACTTCTACAGATGGCAGGAATAAGGTACAGAAAGCTACTCCAACATCAGCGAAGCCTCCTACCGATGGCGGCATTGCAGCGCCGTCGTTGGGTACTCGGTCACCACTTCGGAGTTTTGCGCCTGAGGTCCACGGGTTTCTGGGGGAGTTTCTGCGGCGTAGACTCAGCTTCGTCGATCCGGTGGAGAAGAGGGAACGACATCGCGTTCCGGCAGAGGTTGTGCTCCTCGAATTTGTCGATTTCCTCTGCGCGCAAGACGAAGGAGTCTTCAAAGTGGTTTTTTACGCTTTGGAAACCTGTCCTTCCGTGTTGTTTGAACTCTTAAACCTGTACGCAGTTTATTTCCAGTACCAAGACAGCTACTCTGGACGGCAGTTTCCATTAGTGATCCGGTATTTGCGACGCAGGTTTAAATTTTTTGCCACAATTTTGAGCATGTCAACGCATGAGCGCACAGCGCGCTTGCTCGCGGACCTGGATGGGATCAAGGCGCTCGGAGAAAGCGGCGAGCTAGAACCCGTAGACTCACAAGAGGGGCTACGCGATAAGCTCACTTGTGCGCCGGGCTTGTGGGCTCAGACTCAAAGTTGGGAGGACGCGGTGGACGAGTCGCGGTGGGGACAGAGGAAAAAACCACTCGAAGGCGTTGGCGAGCATACTCTTTTCGACACAGACGAGAATCGATCGAACTTGCTACTGACGCCGCCGTTTTCGGAGATTTCCTCTGATGTGCTTCCTGCTTATTCCCATCCCCTGTGTGTATGCCGCGAGGTCGCACACGAGATTTGCAGTGTGGAGATGCTGGAAGATCATGACGTTAACTTTAAAGACAAAAATCCGAACTGTGAGCAGTTGGGACAGATGCTGACTTTAGAACCGCGCTGTTTGATCGCGCACACTGTTGTGCATCACAAAGAAACGAAAAAACGCGACGACGAGCTCTTCATAGAGGTGGCGGAGCTGCAGGCGGAGATGCAGACGCAAGCCCTCGATCGTAGTAAGGGGACACTCGTTTTGGGAGAGGATGCGTTTCAGCGACGTCTTGTGTCCGATGAGGACCGTCGGCTGCTATTTTTCGCGAAGATGTACTTCCTGTGGCACGACGACGTAGAGGAACGGAGAGCTGAGAGAATCACCACAAGTCAGATGGCGCGGATTACTCCAGAAAGCCTTCACGACCATGAAGAAGCCAGAGGTCTCTCCGAACGGTCAATGGTTACAAGGACGGCCAAAAGTGGAGAATTATTCAGCGCAATGCCTAAGCGTGAAATAGATACAACCCTCGTCGTTTTTCTGACGCACCGACCTGAAGATTTTGTGATCGAAAACCTTGTACCCGATGATAAACTACCACTCACCTCTCGACCAAGCCCCGAGTTTGACATGCTTCGGGCTATACGGCGAGTTTTCTTAGGCTGGCGACAACGTTTCAAGAGCATCCTGTTTGTCGTAGATAAAGAAGTGCGCGTGCCATCTGCGCGTGAGTTCACCTTAGTCGGGCTTGATAAGCGGGAAACGCGGATATTTCCTCTGACGGGGCTTGATGCTTTGGCACGACGTTTCCCCGTTCCGTTCGTTGAAGACGAAAGCGCGAAGGAGCCAAGTATTGCGTACTTGCTGTAAATGATTCGTACTTCTTCGATGTTGTGGTGCGACCAGATTGTACTTGTGATGGGGTAGAGCGCATGTGAGGCATGTCTTACTTTGCGTATGTAGAAGCTCCTCTGCAATAGAAAGTTTTATAACTACTTACTAGCAACAGTACGTTGTAACACAACGTAACTACGTAAAATCTAAGTTGAAATTCTCATTATTTTGATTTTTTCAGATCGTCTTCGCATGAGGTGCTTTCTCAGATTTGGGCCCACGTGAAGACGCCCTATGCGTTGTTCTTACACCATTCGGGTTTTCCGACGCGCCAAAATTTAGACGTTTCGCTCAATAAAGCGCGTCGGTATTTTGAAGAATCCGGCACAACTTCTATTGAGGCAGGAGATCGTGGTGGACAGTCCAGAAAAATGGAGGCAGTATCACTAGCCGACAAGATTCTTGGAAATCGACGGGCGCTCCACATGCCAGCAGTATCACCTAGTCCTGAAGGAGGTGGACAAAAGGACTCACCACATCGTGGCGAGCGCATCCTGGTAAGTGCGCATGAAATGGCCTATGGATTCGGGTTGCGTGTGGCCGAAGCGTTTTTTCTTCTGGCGGAGGAAGCGAAAAAGGAGTCTAAGGTTAGCCAAAGTCTAGTGAGACACGCGGCTATGCGTGTGGCACAAACGGTTGCCGGTGCCGCGGGGGTCGTCGGGAGGCTAGCTGAGATGCGAATGGAAGTTTTTGAATCGAAAGACATTGATCTAGAAGCCTTTCGCCGTGTATTGTCGCCCGAGTCGAAATTTTTAGGTTCTTCGATGGAGCAGGGCGGAGAAAAAGTAAACTCCCCAAGTAAAAATAGGCTGTGGCTAGAAGAGAGTCCTTTACCCATGCGATTGCCAGTCTTAAAGATGCGGAATAGCGGCCGCAGTTTAGTGCATGAGCGATTTGTCGCTGACATCTTGCACGCACGTGACGCATGGTTAATGCCAAACCCTTCGTCTACTGACAGTCAACAGGCACATCTTTCGGCATTCTCGTCTTTCTCGAGCATTGGTTTAGTGGAGGGCTTCGTGCGGTTTGAGCGGTCTGAGGACTTCGCTACGTCGCGACGCTCCGATGGAGTCTTTTCCTATGAGCCAGGTCATATGGAAAGCGTTTACCCGGATCCTATGGTTTCTGTCCCTTCACCAGACTGGGCCGCAGAGCGACTGCTGCAGGACTCTCATAGCTACGTAATGCTCGAATACTACTTGGGTCATGTGCACGCAACGAAGAAACCTAATTTTGTAGACGATGGGCAAAAATTCGAAAACGTGGCTGAGGATCAGGATTCGGCTATGAGGATTAAACCTGTTGATCATGCTTCACCAGAAAACGACCAGCTGCAACAAGGACAAGCGGCGAGCGCGTCAAGTCTTGAACAAGATGTGGAGGAGGAATTGAGCAAACAAGACAATGACCTCCTCGTGAATAAGACAGAGTTTCCGCCTCCTACCGCGCCTCTGGTGACGCCGCAAGTCGTTTTTGAAGGGCTAGAGTGGCTCTTTCACTGTCAAGAGTTGTTCTCCAACAATCTGATGGACCGTATAGAACTCGTCCATATCGTTTCGACGCAAGGAAAAAATGCTTATCTTGTGCTTCCTGAAGTCTCGGAGTACAAAACCAGCATGTCCTTGGACACAGCAAAGTATGACCAGGACCGAGAGGTCTTCAAGGACGAACGACGTGCAGTACTCGGTGAGGACTTGTACAATCTGTTGTTCAAAGCGAATTTGCCTGACAGCAGATACAGGTTCTGGGGCTTCGGTGGCGCAGGAGACAATCGCGTGTGGGACGTTCGGGAATGGGATGATTTTTTCGACCCCAAAGCGCTTGATGAATACCTGCGCGCGCGTGGAAGCGGGGGTGTGGTCGTACGCGAAGGCTTTACGCTGCGAGAAGAAGAAGCTGGCAAACTGCACAGAAGAAATCGTCTGTCAGCTTCCACGAGCAAGAAGTTTCGAACCCTCAGGGACCATTATGCTCTGCTTGGTCCTACGAGGCAAGATCAAAAGAACGAGGACAAAAATGTTGCTGATCACGTAGCAGAGGGAACCAACCATCTAAATGCCGAAATAGCTGATGCAGCAAACGCTCCGCATTCCGCTGCGTCAGGGAGCGATGATAAAACTGAGCAACAAGACCAAGTTGTTCGCGAGATGGACGTATTGCTTATGAGCGAAGCTCTCTCCGTGTTTGCAACACGCTTTGTGTTTGACGGGGATGTGAGCGGGCGATTCGTCATTCTGCCATGCGAGGACAGCACACTGCCTGTGAAGGTGCAATTTTTTCGGTCGCAATACTACTTCCACCGCGGCACGCGCTGCATTGCTCGCCGGGATCAGGGCTCCTGGCTTGACTTCCCGAAAATGCGTCGTGTCCTTTAAGACTTGTAGATAGAATTTCCATGTGCAAGCCTCCACGAGCATTTTGGAGCATAAATCTTTCTTCTAGTAAAACAATCCATCTTGACATTCTAGTGCAACCGTGGTACTGTCCCGAATCGGGACAAGCCCTTATTCGGTTTGCAGGGGAAAGTAGTCAACAAGTCATGCGTCACCTTTCTGTTTTTACGCGACCAGTATAGCAAACAAAGGAAGATGAAAGGCCTTGTGCTAGTACCGCTAAGCATCACAGGAAGAAGTTGATTTCGTGTATAGGGAAGAGATGGCTCATCGCCGTCGGTGGAAACAGTGGAATGATGCGTTGCAGTCCGTGGGTCACTGGGAACGCGACGTGGTCGATCAGATTCGGGCAGAAAACGAACCGGGGAACAGGCATGACGACTCCATTATGTTGGCAAACAGTAAGTTATAATTTCTTGACATCTAGAAACTGAAGATCAAGATCTAGGAGTTGTATCTTTTCTGGCCAAAAATATTATGCAGCAAGACCTTGATGAAGATGTGACCAGAAAACCGGTTCTAACATGAAAATTAAAAGTAGGAGTTCAGACGAGAAGAAGAAGTCTGCGTTTCCGCCAGTGAATGAGATACTGAAATTTGGACGATCGGTTGAACACTCTCGATATGTGTTCCGCGACGCGAGTACAAGAACGTACATGCGGGGCCAGCCAGTGCTGCGAGTAGGTTTCAACTTGCTGCTCGGGGAGGCACTGGAGGGGGACAAGATGCACCTAGGAAAGTACCAAAACTGGGGTGCAAACACCATTGCCGCGAACAGCGTATGGTCAGGGATTGTTTTCACGCAACAAATTCAGCTACTTGGAGACGCCGTTATTGCTGCAATCAAAGCGCGGTTTGCGAGAGCGAACAAATCTGCTCGTTCTTCGAGGACTACCACTAGCTCTTCCTACGAGGTTGACAGTCAAAAGAACAGTAAACTGTGGGTTGTACACTGGCGAAGGGGTGACGGCGAAGTCGGGCCAACAGACGTGCGGGCACAGCAATTTCGTCAAGCACCGGAAGACAATCTAGCGAATCTTGTGAAAAAAACCGTCGTCGCAGAATTTTTTCGCGAGAGTCTTGTCACGCCTGGCGTATACTTCGCGGACGGTGCTCTTAGCAACAAGGAAACGAAAGCAAGTAGTAGTAGTAGTGCTTCGTCCGCGATGAGCGAAGATCTCCAATATGAAGATTCGCACTACCACGGCATGTCCTCCGGAGACATGAATCATAAGAACCTGAACGGAAGCGACACCGAGAGAAACGATGGGAACAGCATAGCCGTAGTACGGATCCTGCGGCCGTCTGCCTTCTCTAGGAAAAGGGATAGTATTCGATACCGAGATTTCGCTCCGCACTTCTTCGTAATGACGAACGAGATAAACTCCACAGTCCTCGACGTCGTACGCGAGGGATTCTCAGAGCATTTCCCAGTCTCAACGGTACAATTTCTTGGTGATTTTTTATCAGAAGACGATCGAGACCAGGCGGAGCCCTTATCAGCGCGTCTCAAGATGTTTCTTAAGCGAGGGGGCATCTTTGCGCTCTTGCTGGAGCTATACATCGCCTGCCGTGCCGACGTCTTCTTTTACGAGACACTCTTCTTTCTTGAATGTAGTACAACACATAACGAAAAATGGGCACTTGTTTGTCGATAGTAGACGTAGAGGTCTGCTGCATGATAAATTAGCAAATCCAAAACCAAAGCTCTACTGTAGTCCTGTTTGGCATTTGCTATAAATGTGTTCCCACCTCCTTTTCTAATAAATGGGATACCACACGGCGCTTTTCGAAGGTGCGGCGTCGATGCCTACAATGCTTGCGAACCAGTTGCGCCTGCACCAATGTGCACGCCCTCCGGCGTTGGGCCTTTTTCACCCGGTCAAAGAATACTTGAAACGGTATTCGGGATGATGGTGTGATTCGAAACTACATTATTTGGTTGGATCGATCGGCGTTTGTTTGAGCTGGTAATTAGGTGTGATCGCTTGGTACTTCAATCGCCTCAATACTGGAGACGCAACATGTACTAGAAGACGGAAGAATGGCCCTACAACAACATCACCGGTAGAATTCTTCAACCGTTACAGACTGCCCTTCAAAATCGTGGAACCTGTAGGATTCACAGCATGATCGATCCCACATATTTGGTTCTTTTTTGAGTTTTAAGCATTGGCTTGACGAAGATTGAATAGATTAGACAACAACTACTCAATGTTCAAGTTCTTGCCAGAGCTTTCGAAATTTGAAACGTGTAAAGTTTTGATGTTGCAATAATTTTTTTAAGCTTCAAATTATAATTTCGTGATGGAAACACTTACAACTTTGGAGCTGGCACGATGTGAGGGCTTCACACTCAAAATGTTGAGATGGTAAAGCTTTACCAAAATTAGAAGGTTTGAAAGTCAAATTCCAAAAAAATTTGATTATACTCCAAATTCGATCAATTTATATCCAATAGACCCTTTTCACACCCAAAATTTTCATTCTGAAATTTCAAAGTCCAATTGCAAAATTTTTGATTTTATTGCAAATTAAATCAATTAAAATCCAGTAGAGCTCAAAAACAGGCAAAATCGACAAGCAGGGGAGTTTCAAGAAGAGAAGTGGTTGTTTCTATCTATATCGATAAAGATAGATGGATGTGTGATGGTAGTTGTATTCTGGTTGACGACTCGAAGGGTGAATTATTGCAGCGAGTTACTATTTTATGTTGCAGGCAAGTATGTTGAAACAACTAGAGCGACAAGCTTGCTATTCATGAGAAAATTTCAATTTTCTATAGTACGACATTACCGATTGTGCACCGACGAGCTTGTAGAAAATCTACTGACAGAAGTGGTTACCTCCATTGATTTCAAGCAAAGGACATTTGATCAATTTTCTAGTGGGCGATATTGACAGTGACAATTAGAAATCACATCACAGAACAAGTGCGGGAAAACTGAATATTGAAGTGGGAAAAAGGTGGATCCCGGGCGTTCCACGTAAAATAAACAAAAGGGACTATTGGTACACTCAATTAGTCGTGCCTGACTTGTTATGATGTTGAAAGCAAGTTGGCCTCTGGCACATGAATCAGTTTTGTGTCGATCTAGAGGTGTTCGCTTTTGTATTCGTCGTAAGCCTTTTTTTTGGTTGGTACCTGCACCAGATTTCCTTACGAAGTGCTGTGTCGGCCAAGGTGGCTCGGGATCATGTTGCTTTCTGTTGATCGAAGATCCAGATCTTCCTTGGTATAGATCAAGCGACAGTACACAACGAGGCTCATGCTCTGTTTTGTGCCGACTGATTCGGTCGTAATGACAATATTTGCATCTTCTGCAGCGAGTCTCGAACGTTTTGGAAGGCGCATGAGCATATCTATCAACGATTTTGTTACTTGCGCGAAGGAATGAGAGGATGAGGACGTGAGAAAGCTTGGTAAGATGGATTCAGCGAGAAATTTAATGAGTCTAAGTGATAGTTCTTCCTATTCTAATATCGAGTGACAAATATAATGATTCTTTCACCTCGTTCTCTTCAAGTGACAGAGGAGAGTATGTCCTGCCGGTTGCGGGCTTATGTTGCAGACCCTTTCTGCGCATTGAAAAGGAGATGTTCGCGAAAGGTGGGTCGAAGTATCGTGGGCAGTCTCCGGAGGAGCAGTTTTCAACCTGAAAATTCTAGATCATGTACCCGCGGAGTGGATCGAATGGACGGCTCTGCGCCATACAGGTGGCTGATTCTAGTATTACGGCAGTTAGTCTTGCAGCTTCATATCACTATGCTAAGCAGGATCTGCTGTTAAAGAGACAGGCCAAAGAATCTTTTAGCGAAGCTGAAGACCCCTCACTGAAGTTCAAGTTCAGAAAGGCAGACCAACATTTGTTGGTTCACCTGTGGCTGCATCGTGGATGGGTTTCCAAAGAAAACTACGGAAGTAGTCTAAGAGAGGTAACGTACTGGGTCTCACTAAAATACAACCTTTTTCTAATAATGGCGATCCTGCAATGTATGCCGTTGTTTAGGGATCACTTGCAGTGGAGGTGGCGGCATGGAACAGACTGTCGAACAGAAGATATTCGTGGCGAAGACATTGCGTCATCAATAATAAGAATAGTATGAAGGCACGGCTAGTTTCTTGGTGCTCTTGTTGCCGTTAATATCGTTTCTGTTTTCCCTTGTACAATGTACATGTAGTTGCTTTTGTACTACTGCAAGCGTACGAGAAGGAGAACGAAAACTGATTGAAGCTGACAAACAGCACCAAAAAACTATCTTTAAGTATAGATGGGAGTCAGCAGGAGAGGTGTAGCGTCAGTTCGAGAAGCTGCAGCACGAAAAAAAGTAGTCCAAAAACCGGTGATGAATTTCCCAGTATAGAGGCAGTTTTGTCCTCACACGACCAACCACAGCAGTCCGAGTCGGACAACGTATCGCGTTTACTCAGTTCTAATCAAGAGACAACATCATGCGAAGCAGAAACAACGCAACAGGAAGAGTGTCGAAGAACGCCCTCAGTCGCAAGGCCTAGTACCGGTGGTGGGATCATCTTCGCCGCTGCGCAACGACAGCGACGTCCCGATGAAGGCCTGCCGCCAGGACTGGAGCGTTGGATTGGTCGGGATGAGTGTAGCGAGGAAAACGGATGGGTCGCATTTTACCACACTTTTGCTTACGGCTTCTGTCAAAAATCAACACCTTTCTACCATGAATTTTCACACACACAGTTGTTCTCGGTTGTATACCATCATCAATTTCAATGTTCGAAGGGGAGTTTCCTATCATTGTAGTTTCAATCAAAATGACACCAGAAGAGTTTGATTGTGAAGGTAGAATACTCGCCTCATTATTGGTGGCCCAAGGAAAAGTACATAAGGATTTTCCTTACGTCTAATTTGCGCGTGGTATCCAGCAGGCGCAGAGTGGCGCAGTTATTTCCCAGCCATTGCGTGAAGAATTGCAGAAGGGTACCTTACCAGAACGCAACGCGGCGCTTTTCTCATCGGAAGACTCAGCAATAGGCATTCTTCGCAATCTAACCGATGGCTTACTTCAGGAACCAGAGAATTACGACTTCTCTTCTTAATCTCATTCCCTTGTTGATGTTGTAGTTACTTTTGATTTTGTTCTGGTCTTCTTGTTCTAATAATTCCTACTCTTGTTAATCTTGATCCTCCCTCTCCAAGGCCAAGGTTCAAATCAGAGAAAAAACTGTCTCTCTAATCCTAGGCTTTCCAGTGTGGTACTGCTATGTCTAGCGTTTTCTCGATGCTCTCCACGCTGTACGATTCGGTGAATATGCCAGTGCTCGCATTGCGCGCAGTGCAGCACGCGAGCATTTTTGGCTCGTATTTGATTTCTCCTGGCATGATGCTTTGTTTCAATGTACTTAAAAGAAACAGACAAGAAGTCACTGCTGTTTTTGTTGTATCGACACTTTTCTTCAGCACTGACTACTTCTATTGATAATTCGTCAAAGTAGTAGAAGTAGTACTAGTTGTACTGCTCCTTGGAGTACAAGTGTCTCTCTGAAATGCTTTGCACATTCTCTTTCGCCCCATCGAATAAAGGTTCGATTACCAGATGAAAGGGGAGGACTACATCGATCAAAGTCCGTGGCCAATTACGTGGAAAGAAAGTATCGAACAGTCCCTAAAACGAATGGACCGAGTGCAGAAGCTTCAGCGTAGTGAGAACTGGCGTCGAACGAAGCTGGGACGAAGACCTGGCGCACGAAAATTAAAGGTTAATTCGTCGGGCTTTTAATATTTATATAATTTAGCAGCTGCTTTAATATCTACATTATTAGTGGGTGCACATAGCGCGAGAACCGAGCACTTCTCTGAGGCACGCACTGGCTTCGGCCGCCATAGATGAGAAGACCTCCAGGGCAGAAGGACGAATGCGCGGCGCCTAAAATAGACGGATCCTAATATAAACGTGGCCACTAGAATTTTATTAGATATTTGGAATACCTGACCTTTTTGATTTTTTGTTTGCTAGTTAGGAGTGCTCCACCGATTACATTATAATATCTACACCACAATCTGCAGAACTATTGTCCTCTTGTAGTTGAGGAGGAACGCCGAGTGATGTAGATTTAGATTGTTCAGCATCTTGCTGTCGATCTCGTCAGACAACTACTACCTGCAATGTGAATGCAGCCGCAATTGGACTGAATGAGGATTTTCATCTCTCCTTTACCGATCCCATCGTTCTATTTTCATAAAGATTTATGATAGAGACAAAAATAATACCAGATTCTCATCGTTTCGGTGTGCGAGTACAACAACGATGTAACGCCTCTATACTCCCTATCCTTCTGGAACAAAAAGCGGTATGCGGATAAGCATGACTACGAGGTCATCGTGCATGAGAAAGGACCCCTACTGCAGGTATATTACACATGGTACGCAAGCGAAACAGAACATATAAGGAGTAGTAATTCATACCTAGAAAAGACTTGCTACAAGTTTCAGTACAAGAGTTTGTTCTAGGAGGTTATACATACCGCTTTTTGCTGGTCTTACTTTCTTAAGGGTTCATCTTGGAACATAAAAGTCATCATCATTGAAACATACTAATCCATCGGCAAATTTTTCAGGATCAATTCAAAGACTTGTTTACGGAGCCACCGAGCCATAGACCACCGGCGTGGAGCAAGATTGACGCCGTGCTAATGGGCCTTCGACAATTAAGGTTAGATTTGCATGAGCATCAGCATCAGCATGAGTTTGAGAAAACAGCCTAGTATCAGAAATATAGGGAGGGACATGTTGTTGTTGTCTGCGGAACTACAGGTATACAGTTATGTAGCTAGTAGAAGGGACATGTTAGGCTGTTCCTGTTGCTAATAAATTGATGTTTGGTCCTACTCCTGACCTCAACGGTCGCTAGGTGCGTGCCCAAATAGGGAACTAGAGAGTATGAACAATGACCTAGTCAGTGTCAGAGAGCCGCCATGAGAGCAATGTGGTTGTTTATTGCTATCCCTTCTCTAAGAGTAGGTCATGATTGGGTCATGTGGATGGATTGCGATAGCTATTTCATGGACCAGGAGTTTGGAATTCACGAGTTAATTGACTCAGTTCTCGAACGCGAAGCACAGGAGATGCCTGGGCAAAGTATACTACGTAAACTGGTCCCCTCAGATAGTGCTCTTTGATTTGGTTGGTTTTACTAGTCTACTAGCTTGGAGCGTCCGATAACATCCCTCCCACTAGGATCCACCTCCTCCCCAAAATAAGAAATTAAGCACGGCAAAGATGTAAGCGATACGCGTCCCCAAATTTCGAAAATTTTCCACGTTTTGCCATCGTTTGCGGATTGAATCTCGTGCGTTTGAAGTGCTAAGATCCCAAATTCTCCTGATTTTAAGCCCTGCCCATTCCCTGGAATTCAATTTCTTGGATTTGCATTTTTCAAATTTCGAAAATTTTCCACGTTTTGTCGTCGTTTTGGGATTGAATCTTGAGCGTTTGAAGCGCTAAAGTCCCAAAATTTTTTGATTTTAAGCCCTTTCCCTGGAATTCAATTTCTTGGATTTGCATTCTTCAAATTTCGAAAATTTTCCACATTTTGGCGCCGTTTTGGGATTGAATTCTGTGCGTTTGAAGTGCTAAAGTCCCAAAATTTTTGACTTTGCGCCCTTTCCCTGAAATTCAATCTCTTGGCTTCGCGTTTTTCCAATTTCGATAATTTTCCGCGTTTTTCGTCGTTTTGCGATTGAATCTCGTGAGTTTGAAGCGCTAAGATCCCAAAATTTTTGATTTTAAGCCCTTTGCTTCCCTGAAATTCAATTCCATGGCTTCCTGGGTTCACGGGGTTCGCGGGGTTTGTTTGTTTTTGTGTCGGAGGTTGTGGGTTTGGGTGTTGGAGGTTGAGGTTTCGGAGGGGAAGTGTTTGCAAAGTTTTATTGCTCTTAATATTGCATGAATAAATGTCAAGTCTTTTGGAAAAAAGTAGCTGGCTTTCTCTCTTAGTTTGTTACTCTCGTACGGGTACCTCGATGCCATTTTGTGGTCATTACACTACCTCTTCTTTTTCAATCAGCCGAGGGAGTGAAGCGCCCTTTTGCGGATCCTCCGCTCGAGGAATTTTTGAAGAAATGGGACGCAGCACCTGGCACACTCGAGGCTTTCGACACCATGCTCAGTTCTCCAAAGTTTATGATAGATATGATAGTATATGTTAGACCCTAAGAACTTTATCCTTAATGCATTATAGACTGAAAGATGTTTCAAACAATGCGTGCTTTTCTTCCCTCGTCTGTACACCACCTGCTGGAAGGAGACAAATAACGCAAAGATTAGAATGTTGCTCACGCGCTGAAGTAGTGGTTGTTGCGTCTCCTAAGAAAGCTGACAGCTCAGCTGTGCTAGACCAGACGCAAATAGGCTGGGACGATTGGCTGGTCCACCCGACATACGAGAAAGACGGTAAAAAGCGCATCGAGTTGATCGTAAGCGAAGACGGCCTCATGCTTAATATTATGACCACGAATAATGAACATTAATTGTACGAATCATCCTGCAACAATGTGATGCTTGCCGTAGAGCCAGTCATTGAGATATAGAATCTAGTGCTTAAGTAAGCGTCCTACTTTTGTTGAACAAGAGGCAAGAAGTAGCATGAAGTAGAATTCCTTCATATTACCGGGGATCTTTTTCGTGCGATCGAGCGTGTGGGCATGGCGGTTTTTTCAAAAAGTTCGTAGGTTTACATTCGGCAACCGTGCACCGATTACGCAGCACCCGTGGTGGGAGCAAACAGGTGACTAGGATGAATACTTCTAGTATTAAGTACTTCTTGATGAAGATTCATTTTTAAGTAAGACACGCTTCCATTTAATTCTAACGTCTAGAATATGGGTTTTGGCTCTACTGATTATCTACCTTGTTTCTAGAACACTACAACTATCGCGGAACGAACAATAACAACGTCCCCCCCTTTTCCATCTATCAAGAACTTTTTCGATTCTACTTATTCGTTCGCGAAGCAAGCCAGCAGAGAAGTCCTTCATTCAAAATAAAACAGCGATGGTATACCTGATTCAAATGCCGTTTGCGAACGAGAAGAATTGGGCCGTTGCACCTGCGGTAAGTCTTTTGGACCAAAGGCATATAAATCCGTATCCACATCTAGTTTCCTCCGCTCTACTGACCCACGTCGCGTTCGAGCCTGATGATTATATCATCTCCTTCTCCGGATGCAAGATATACTTAAGACTGGGTATCAATGTGAAAAGGATTAATACTATAGTCAGTTACAGTCACTATTATATGAGACAGCTGCTACCATCTTCAAAGATGTTGAGGAACAATATGCTGTTGTCAATATTGATTACCGTATCTACTATATAATGATTCAGGTAGAATGAATCTTCTATTCTTATTTATCTCTAATCTTCAGTAGCCAAGACGTTTGCAATGCGTTGTTTTTCAACTACTTCGCGATCTCAGTGCCGGACTACGCAAGCATTAAGGACGATACACTGCAAGCGTGGCTGGAGAAGGGAAAGCAAAAGTATCGCTGACAATCATGAGCCGCGGGATGGGTGCTCACGGGCTGCTTCTTAGAAGCTCGCTTCTAGCACAGGAATATCTACAATCGGATTTGTTGTGTACCTCTTTGTTTATACTTATCGTAACTTCATCTGACAGCAAGTATCGCATGTGTTGTACCAGGAAATATGCTTGATTGATGATGATCATTGTCTTTGACATGGTGAGAAAATCATTGCGCGTAGGTCAGATAGAGAATTCGGTTTTCTTGCGGGAAAAACGGCTAACGTACTTGTCCACTTGTCCACAAGGGACTTCGAAAGACAGGAGGATAGGACAAGCGTGAACAAGCTTATGCTCGACTCAAGGGACAAAGGACACTCGACATTATAATAGGCAAAAATGAACAATGCTTAAACGACGAGCGCATGACAGGGAAGGAGCAACTCTCGACGGCAGCACACACGTACGAGATATAGACGCTTATCTGTCACAGTTATGTGAACATTGTCAAGCATACGTAATCATCTATGGTCGGTAATTCGGTAATTCTACCTTTTGAGGAGCTGCGTCGGTGGGAGTCGATTTAGGTTTTCTGTGTATGCACTCACACGCCATCGCTTTGGCACGCAAAACGTGAAAGCAGATACAAGAGAGTTCCCATTTTTAGCTGTCTAAGAAAAGGCTTAATATTGTCATAGGAAAACGAAGTCGAAGGTCATAGAACGAACAGGAAGTGATCAAATTATTGGGCTGTGACGAGCTACGTCTACTTGAACAGTACTACTTCTACAAGTGACAAAGTCAAAGGCTGTCCTTCGATCTACTAGAACAAATCAAGGAAAGGAGTGCCAGTTAATTTCGTTGGATACATGTATTTGAACAGGCGTTGGTTGATTTTCCCTCTCCCACCCTATTTCCCTCTCCTTGTTAATGATTTCAGCAACATATTAGAATACGTGTTTCATGGCAAAAATTCCTCAAAAGTGCATGTCTACAATCAAGGCCGATTCTGATGTAACAAGAGCGCATCTTCAATTGACGGCAGTCATGTGGACAGGAGCAAAACGTCAATTATCCTTTGTTAGGACTCGCAACGCTGCATCGGAAAAATGAGGCCTGCTGGTCTAATCGCGGGAAAAAGGGTAGGGCAGAGTTCGGTTTGCTGCTCGACGATGACAAGTACCCGAGAGGCAAATAAGTCTGGCGCTTTGATTCAGATGATGTTTGTTCGATTTCTCTTCCTAATATCAGCATTGGATGTGGAGAATCTCTTCCAGCACGCAGTTCCATCATCGCATTATCCGCAATCAAGATTGGGAGACACGCGGTTTTCATCGATAGTCTCAAACTGCGCGCGTGGCGGGACGCTCTTCGCTGCCGCGACTACTCCACCTCCGCCACTGGAGTACTTTGGCGTGCCGGGTGTCAACCCAGCTGGAAGTGTCGGCATCATCGCACCTGTCTTTAGGAAAGGCGACGTTTTTCTCGCACTTCTCGATACTCCAAGTACGAGGGCTTTCTAGAACTTGCTCATACAAAAACATTTGAATTTAGATTTATTCGACAATCATGCAGTGCAGCTGCATTATTTTTTCTTTCAGTAGCTTAACTTTTCATCCTGGAAATGCAAGTATATTATACTACTAACTTTGTCGTGACAAAGGCAACTCACTGACTACTTCATCGCCAATGAGGAACTTCAACTTATGGCTATGCCAACTCTCCCATAGCCATAATCAATGTCGATGAGCTTAACATTCAAGATGGGTACGCAGCTAACGCTGGCTTGCGGTTTCAAGAACGTTTTTCTACTTGTCCGAATTAATAATAGACGAAGTCAACAAAGTCTTGTTTTAACGGGGGCATGAAAAAATGACTCCTGATGAAAATTCAACGCTAATCTGTGCAAAAAAAATTGCAACTTTCGCGGCATCTGCAAGGACGAAACCTGTTACTGTCAGCCAGGGTATCACGGGTCTACGTGTGGAAAGGAGACGCTGTCAAAACGCGGCACTTACGCACTCGATGAGGTCGCTCTTGTCGCAGTGGGAGTCTGCATATGGTATCCTCATCAATCTACACGCATGGTCCTATTTATGACTAAGGGCATCATCAAAACTAACTGCTTACATTCCCGTCGCGTTTATTTTGTTCTCTGCATGATCAAATACTTATTACACTGCATAGCATACTGGTGATGCTACTTCCCTTGATGTTCTCCCTTTATCGCGTTTAATGCTGGGCTCATGATCGTGGAGATTGTGGACGATGTTTGTTCCTAGGATTATCTCCGAGCGTAAATCGTCTACTTCCATACACGTGAAGTTCGTACCTTGCATTGATGATTATCACGAGTGACTAGCCACAATAATAGCCGGTTGTCAACTATGCTGTGCCTGTGCATGAGGAGACTTTTCGATAACAAAGTTTTTTCGATTCTTGTTACTTCTGCATCTTGATGTTGATCTGTTCCACTTCCACACGTAAAAGTTGGCACTTCATGATCTGATGAACAACAAGTACTGATTGCAGGTTATTAGAAGTAGCTGCTTGATGAATTGCTGGTGCTCTAGGTCTAGCTCTAGTTCCTATTTATTTTTATTTTTGAGGTTCTGCATGTTGACGTTCGGGTTTTTGCAGTATCAGGAGTATTCAAAAAAAGCCGTCGAACGTGCGATGGGTTATGCAGTCTAAAAGCCGACCGATGCCGTATGAGATAGACTTGGTGACAGTCAAGTAAACCTGTTGGAGGCGTTATGACGATGTGCTGCATGGTGAAAAGCACAGGAGAAGCAATATGGTCAATGCACGAGAGCGGGCACGAGCGAGTTACCCTTTGTTACTAGATCGAGGATGCAGTTTAAGTCGAGGGTAAGTACGCCCGAAGACAGATAGTAGTACGTGGAAGATAGTGGCGGGTACTGCAAGAAGATTATTTGTCATCAAATTGAAATTTGGTCTCACTAACGTTGTTGTTGGGGACAACAAGGACTATGCTTGAGCCTCTCTTAACTAGGGAAGTTGCTCCTCTGGGCCCCACGTGGCAAATATAGTGGGCTAGGAAGTTCCTCCTTACTGCAACAAGATTTTTTTAGCTTCCTTGACTATTTTGAAAACGAGAAAGAGAGAAGAAAAAAAC